AATAAAATTTTCACAGTACAAAATATTCAACAAAATGACACTTCCACCCTGCATGTTGTCCAAAATGTTTCTCATAGTTCTAAGAGTGTTCCTCCAATGTTCAATAATTGTACTAACTGTCAAATTACTGTAAATATAACAAATTGATCTTAAAAATGTATTCAGCAATGACTTGATGTTTTCAAAATATAAATTAATTCCTTATAAGCAATGTGTTTTCTATCATTTATGTAGAACACTAACAACTGTACGGAAATGACATTTCCTTACAGTAAGGAAGTCCTGACTTTTTCTTCAAGAAATTTTGACAGAAATGTCAAAATTTCCTGGCGATTTGTGGAAAAAGTAATAACAACACTTAAAATTTTTCTTAATGAGAAAATGAAAACATATTACCTTACAGCTTAATCAAGAATGTATGCATGATCATAAACACTGCCGTCAGTATCTTTATTAGAATTAGAATACGTCTCCGCATCATGGTTCTTAGCAATCCACTTATTTCTAAATGCATTTTACTATAAAAAGGGGTCGAAAAAAAGTTTGTTAAATGTCTCATAAATGTCAAATTGTTTTTAATATACACCTCCATCTACGACTTGTTTTTTGTATTGTGCGGTAATTTAGGTCAGTCTCGTTAACTCGTTAAAAAGCCTGAATCGCTTTAAAAGAGGTAATTTGAACAGACCCTTGACGCCTGCTTTGTAAAGTTAACACCATCTGTATATCGTCCAACGGCAAATTCAAACAAAGATATAACTTCCAGACCATATTTTACCCCCTTTGGTTCAGACAAATTAAAATATGCATTTAATATATTTTTTACCACCAAAAATAAAATGTTTTAACCAAATAATGCTTCACATATAGAAATAAAATGAATGCTACAGAAACGGTCATTGACAGAATAAAAAGAAGATGTTTAAAATGGTTTGGGCACCTACTGAAAATTCCTGACGAACGTTGGAACCAAAAATTTCACAGATGGAAGTCTCCTGGAAGAAAAGAAAGAAAAAACCACTTTACGTAGACGGCTAAAAAAACTTGGTTCAAATATAAAATCGTTAATAAACGGGTGGCTATTATGAAAAGTAAAATGATAGTGCAATGACGTTTAGATTATTTAAAAAAAAATCAAGAAAATCGAGACCAACAACGGTCTATATATTATTTAGATGAGACATGGTATGGGACGCATAATACCACTAGTAAAGGTTGGACTAATGGTTCACTTAGGTGCCAGTTGAAAGCAGTACCTCTGAATAAAGAACGATTATTGTGCACTGTAGATCTGCAAATGATTGGGTGCCAAATGGGATAGTGCTTTGCGAAAAAAAAAAATAGAAAAATGTATTGTAGATTATCATCAGAATATGAATTCTACTATATTCGAAGAGTGGTTTAAAAATACACTACTTCCCAGTATAACCCCGGCATCGTGATTACGTTGTTACTCGATTTTCATTTGTTTGTACGATTTTAAGAGTTATAGCGATAATAACACGTAGGTGAAACTTAACATTGATTTGTTGTTAAATGTTCTTATAATATATATATATATATATATATATATATATATATATATATATATATATATATATATATAACTTTAATTTTGTCGCTTCTCGCATCCCAATCGCCATAATTTCTTATCGGCCCAGTCTCCTTCTTCAAGACCTCTATTTTCCATTTCTATATGAATATTGGATATCCATTTCTTTCTTGGCCTTCCCCTTTTATTTCTCTGTGTAGGTCTCCAGTTCCAAACCTTTCGTGGTATCCTTTCTTCGTTCATCCGTCTTAGGTGTCCATACCATTTTAATTGTTTTTCGGCTATCGTATCCATTATTGTGTTCTTTACTTTCATTCTCTCTCTTATGTTTTCATTTCTTATGTGGTCAAACAAAGTTAACCCGGAACATCTTCTCCAGTACATCATTTCCGTTGAGAGGAGTTTTTGTGACATATTATTGTTAAAGACCCACACTTCTGACCCATACGTCAGCACCGGCTGAATCATAGCCTGATATATATTTTTCTTTGTTTTCTTAGTTAAAGTTTTATTCTACAGGATCGGATGTAGTGTTTTTATCATGTTTTTTCCTTTTCCTATTTTTCTTTTTATATCTTTGTCGTCTTTCCCGTCTTCGCTTAGTGTAACTCCGAGATATTCGTACTGATCAACGTTTTTAATTAATCCGCTTTGTGTTTCCATGTCTTGACCGATGCCTCCTATATTCATGTATTGTGTCTTTTCGGTATTAACCTCTAATCCCCATTTTTTGAATTCGTCTATTAGTTTGTTTATCATGTACGTCATATCTTGTAGGTCCTCGGCAAGAACTACCTGGTCGTCTGCGAAGAGGATTGTATATATAGGAGTGTCATTTACCCATATGCCCATTGGGCTGCATTTTCTCATCCGATGTTTTAAAGCATTACCAAGATATATCTTAAATAGGGTTGGGGAGAGGCAAGAGCCCTGTTTGACACCCTTTGTTTGGGTAAAACCCTTGGAAATTTGGTTTCCAACCTTAATCTAAGCTTGGTTATCTTGATATAGCTTTTTCACGGCATTTATGTATACTGCATTTATACCTGCGTTTTCCAATGTTGTCCATAGTCTCTGCAGTGGTACGGAGTCAAACGCTTTACGGAGATCTATAAAAGTGGCATGAAGTTCTAGTCCTCTTGCTAATCTCTTTTCCGTTAGGTGTTTGAGAGTAAATACATTGTCGACACAAGATCTCCCTGGTCGGAATCCACTTTGTTCGTCTCTTGCGATCTCTGTGGCTTCTTTTTCTATTCTGGCTTTCAGAACTCTTTCATACAGTTTGCCAGTGGATGACGTAATGCTGATACCTCGGTAATTACTGCAGTCATTCCTGTTTCCCTTTTTGTAGATGGAGTTTATGTACGAGACTTTCCAATCTCTTGGGATACTTTCTCCTTGTAGGCACTTGTTAAACATTTAACAAAGCAATTCTAATGTTATTGCAGTGGCATGTTTGAATAACTCGATAGGTAAATCACCTGGCCCAGGAGCTTTATTATTTTTCATTTTTTGTAATGCGTTTTTTATTTCTTCTACGGTAATCATCGCCACTTCCTTTAACCTCGTTTCAACTCTATCTATCTGTGTGTCTAGAAACTGTGTACGTTGTTCATTTAATAGATTTTCATAATAATTTTTCCATCTTTCTATGTCTATGGGGTTTATTTTTTTTTGTTTCGTTTGTATTTTTTCTAAGACTGTTGATAGTTTTCCAAGCTTGTCTGGACCTAGATCCTCGTACCATTGAGCTTATTTCTGCACACTTGTTGTCCCAGGTTATGTTTTTTGTTTTTTTTAATTTCCTTTTTTACTATGTATTTGTATCTGTTATAGTTCTTTCGGTCTTCCTCATCTTTTGTCGCTAACCATTTGAGATACAGTTTTTTCTTTTCTTCTACCAGTTCTAATAAACCTTCTGTCCACCAATAATTTCTACGTTTTACTTTTTCTTTCGTACCTAGAGCTTCTAATGCTGCTTCATGAATTTTGATTTTCAAAGTCTCATACATTTCTTCCGCTGTTCCGTTTATTTCTTCGTCTAATTTTTGTGCCAAACGTAGTTTATAAAGAAAACTTGTGGACTCATTTTTTAAGCTGTCTATGTTATAGAGCCGTGAGGATTCTTTGTTTGTCTGTTCTTGGGATTTATTTTGTTTAATATATCTTATTTCCACGGGTGCCTTTACTAGTAGGTGATCCGATCCACATTCTGCCCCTCTCCAAACTTTTACATCGTAGGGTCTTAAAGATGTCTCTTGTTTAACTACTATATAGTCTATAATTGACTGCAGTTTTATTGTCTTTTGAGTCCATGTATATTTATTTATGTCTCTATGTTTGTAAAATCCATTCAGTATTTTTAACGAATGTTGTTCGCATACCTCCAACCATCTTGTTCCGTTCTCATTTACTACATCTTCTCCGTGTTGTCCAATTATTTTGTTATCAAGAGCTTTACCTACTCTTCCGTTCAGGTCCCCTAGCATGACTATTTCTTGCCTTTTTTTTTATTTAACTCTTTTGAGAGTTTGTCGAAGAACATGTCTTTAGTGTTTGTATCTGAGTCGTCCGTGGGTGCATAGATGCCAATTATTTTTATGTCTCTCCCCTTTGTTGTAAGGTCTACTGTTATAATTCTTTCATCTATCGGGTTCCAGTTGGTAATACATTTTTCCATGTTTTTTCTTATCACGACCGCTACTCCAGCTTTGGCTCTTTTTGATTTTTCTACTCCGCTCCAGAAGTATATATAATCGTCTTTGTAGTGGTTCCCCTGTCCTTTTTTTTTGTTTCGCTGAGTACTGCGATGTCAATTCAGTATGTACTGAGTTCCTTAAATACTTGGTCTTCTTTTGTATTCAGTCCTTGTATGTTCCAACATCCAAAATTCGTTAGCCTTTTTCTTTGCCTATGTCGTTTTCCGTTGAAGCCATCCGAGTTCCGAGGCTGTTCTTTGGGATTTTTAGCAATATTTCTTTTACGCAGGGCGGGGAGCTAACCTACCGCTGTAACCCTCCTCCTTCATCCGGGCTTGGGACCGGCACTGGCATTTACTGAGCTACTCAATCCACCCAATATCTACCAGAGGCGGAGTTAATAACTTATAATAACTTTTCAAAAATACAGCTGTTAACCTGTAAGCATTTTCTGCTTCGTCCATTAAGATTTAACGTTGCTTTCCTGATTGCGTCATGGCTTGCTCTAACTGCAGCTGCAACATTTCTAATACATCGAATTATTGCATCAAAAGTGTCAACTTTTACCTTGTAACCTCTTTTTTGAACCAGTCTTATAAAAAGTAGTCTGATGGTGTTAGGTCTGGAAAACTTAGAGCCCAACTATTAGAGTCACTGCGACCAATCCAACGCCTCGAAAACAATTAGCTGTCAACAAATTCGTAAAATAAAGTATACTACCTTAAATTAATATATTGCATTTTTTTTAGCTGCTTTTACCTGATATTACAATTTGCCACGATAAACACGCGACCTGGAGACCACCACCACAACACGTGTAGACACTTCAATGATACTCTCAAATGCCACGGGAATCTCCACGATGGAATCAATTATACATCGACTATCTCAGAACTTAATTTATCCAACTTAACAATTCGAACGTTAGATCTGAATATTACAGTAACAAGATTTCCTAATTTAAAATTATTAGTGGTAGAGAATGGTGAGGTGACGAATGTTTTACCGCCAGAAGTGAATAACGCAATTACTGTAAGTTTTTTAAACAATTTTTTGTATAGTGTTACTTTTAAGTAATTGTGGGATAATGTAAAATAAAACCTCTCTGGCCTGGATATTTTTATGTTCATTTATTTTTCATAACTTAGGATTAGGATTCGGATCTAAATGCAAAAGATTTTTAGATGCCATAAAACTACTAGCACGAGGTCTAACCTAAGATACAATAAATAAGTTCTGACAAAACCAATTTAGAAAATCAAGCGATAAGCTAGTTAAGATTATGAACACTCTCAAGTATTTAATAAAGCTTCAACCAGAATTTACATTCATATTTAACAAAAATCTGTTATTTTTTCAGGAACTAGTGCTAAGCAACTTAAAAATAAAACATATCCACAGGGATTTTGTACTATATTTTCCATTTTTAAAAAGGCTGCATTTAGAAAAGAATTTTCTGACGGAATTAAGCAGTCGTTTTCATACTGGCACGTTGGATGAACTTTATATAAAAAGTAAGTAACGCTTGATAAAATATAATTCTCTAGATGCTCTCGTCTATTTACGTTTGATGCAGTCTCAGCGTTAAGCTGGTCGATTTAACTTGCTAGTATTCGTGCTCCCGTTTTTCACTTCACTGCATTTCAGTCTTCAAATATTTTCTGACTTTATTCAGACGTATCAAATATTTTTCGTATTGACACACTTTATTGTATCGACTATTATAAGAACTTAGAAAAAATGGAAATAGTGTACTATACATTGAAAATATAATACACATATTCAATTTTTGCTTGTCCATTGCCGGAGATAGATCCTCCTCATATACCCTCAATACATCTGTCAAGATGTATGCATTGATGTATTGATGTATTGTTAATGATTATGATGGTTATGCAAGGGTTTTGATGTTCTAATGAAAGTCCTTTTCTTTAGAATTTGGCTCTCGGATTACCATAAGTAATAAGTTTCTCTTGTGTAACTAGTGCTCGAATTCAGCGTTTCAAATATTCTTGTTGTTCTCCTTCGTCGCCCTTGTGGTCATCATCTGGAGCCATATATATGAGATCCTTACAGGCTGCTATCAATTGAATCCTGATTTATATTATATATTATTTTATAGAAATGTTACTCATGCGGGTAACTTGGGCCATTGAAGATAACACTGGAACCCTAAAAACAAACAGAGAAGACATAGCAGAGACATGGAGATCGTATTGCAGGGACCTATATAAAGATGATCAACGCCAAGAGCTTGTTAGCCAAATCTCTGACGAGGTGGAAGAAGAACCTGATATACTCGAAAATGAAGTAAGACAGGCTATCAACAAGCTCAAATATAACAAAGCACCAGGTCCAGATATGATAACAGCAGAAATGCTTAAAGCCACAAAAGAAACCGGCGTAAAGTTACTTCATCTACTCTGTAACCAAATATGGCATTCCAAACAATGGCCTGAAGACTGGACAAAATCTACAATAACGACCATACATAAAAAAGGCAGCTTCCATAAATGCGACAATTATAGAACTATCTCTCTTATATCCCATGCCAGCAAGATAATGCTACATATAATCAATGAGAGACTGAAAACATTCCTTCAAAGAGAAATTCCACAAGAGCAAACTGGATTTACCAAAGGTAGAGGCACTCGAGAACACCTGCTGAATATAAGACAGATAATCGAGAAATCTAGGGAATTCAACATCCCACTATACATCTGTTTTATAGATTACCGTAAAGCGTTCGACAGGGTCAAGTGGAGACACTTATGGCGAATACTAAAAGAAGTAGGCGTACCACAACATCTAATTACGCTTATAACCGAACTATATGAACACACTACTGGATCAGTTAAAGTACTTGACACACTTTCGAACGAATTTCATCCAGAACGGGGTGTCAGACAAGGATGTATACTATCTCCACAATTATTCAACATATATGGGGAGTATATTATGCGAAGAGCACTTGAAGGATGGGAAAAGGGCATCTCAATAAATGGTCATAAACTAAACAACCTACGTTTCGCAGATGACACAGCCCTTCTTGCAAATAGTCAAGCAGAGCTGATAGAACTTATACGACTGATCGAAAACGAAAGTCAAATATTTGGTCTGCAATTAAACATATCAAAGACAAAGATCATGATAGTGATAGACTACACAACAATCATCCACACATAACCACAATTGACCGGTTCGAGGTTGTGAGCTCATACTTATATCTGGGATCATTAATCACAAACACAGGGTCATTACAAGAAGAGATTAAACGTAGATGTGATCTAGCAAAAGTTGCCACAGCAAAAATGACCAAAATATGGAAGGACTGTCAAATTTCAAGAGCGATAAAGATGAGGTTGATCAACTGCTTAATATTCCCAATACTGACCTACGGATGTGAATCTTGGACTCTGAGACAATCGGAGAGAAGAAAGATAGACGCCACTGAAATGTTCTGTTGGAGACGAATGTTACGAATTCCTTGGACCGACCGTAGAACAAATAATTCAATTTTAAGAGAGCTAAAAGTTAGCCAACGACTCTCTAGTAAAGTCCATCTCCAACAATTAAAATATTTTGGGCATGTTATGAGAGCAAACACAGAAAACATGGAAAGACTCATAATACAAGGAAAGGTAGAAGGCAGAAGATCACGAGGAAGATCCCCAACAAGATGGATAGATCAAATTACAGGAATATGCCAAAGACCTATGCATGAATTAAAAGAAATGACCAGAGACAGAGATCTCTGGAGACGGACAATACACGACATCACGTCGACCACTACACTCCCCCTGGGGGGTCAGGATTGAAGAGAGACTCATGCAGATACTATGAAGGTAAAAGCTGATACATGGTTAAAAAATGCTGGTATACAATTGGTTCCAGTACCACCGTTTTACAAATAACGACTTTCAGAAACACAATGTCAACTTACTTTCCCAAGGCCCAGATAAGAATATTTATAAGATGTTGTATTATTTTCGGATTATTTTCGAAGTTTTTATGTTTGTTTTGTTTATGTATTTAACTTTGTTTTTAGATAACCGATGGAATTGCTCAAGGGATCTGTCATGGGCCATTCATTTAAACAAAAGTGGAGTCTGCCAAGATCTAAGAAACTTTACATGCAAGGATAAACTTTTTTTCGGAAAAAGCGTTTTATTAGTTGCTCAATATAAAAAGGTAATAAATTGTTAATTTGAAAACTTTTCACCGTCATTACCTTTATTTTTGTAAATAATATTAGAAATTGAAAAGGGGGGACAATTATTGAAGCCAACCAACTACAATCACATTTTCTCTCTCTTTCCTTTAAAGGAGACTTCTTCTTTTGGTGCCTATCCTCTATTGATGTTGGTCTATATAACTTGTTAACAGCTGCTCTAAATAGATGTATGGTAGTCATTCCTGCCCACTGTCTTGAAGCTCTTCAACCACGATGTCCATCTGCGCCGTTGAGATCTTTTGCTTTCTATCTTGCCTTGTACAATTAGTTGAATTAGTTAATATTTCTCATTGCGCATCACATGCCCTAAGTATGTTATCTTTCTGATTTTCACGATACGCATAATTTCCTGATCAATTTAGGAAATTCTGAGCATGCCGCGGTAACACCCCATATTACATAATATCTTCCTGAAGCGATTGAAGACAGCTCTCGCCTTTTCTATATGACATCTTATTTCCTGTGAGTGGTCCCATTCCTTATTTAGGCTACATCCAAGATATGTAATTTTGTCGACTATTTTTAAGGGTTTATTATTAGCTGTTAATTGGTGCTGTATTACGTCGTTTTTACTTACTACAAGAATTTTGGTCTTCTTACAGTTTAATTTCATGCCGTATCTGTTACAGGCTTCCACTACACGGTCTATTAATGTTTGCAGATCCTCCGCATTATCAGCAATCAAAACCGTATCGTTCGCATATCTTAAATTGTTTAAGATTTCACTATTGATTTTTATACCTTCTCTTAAACCATCAATAGCTTCCTGAACAGCATTTCCGAGTAAGTATTGAACAACGTCGGTGACAAAATGCAGCCCTGACGTACACCCCGTTTTATCGTGAATTCTTGTGAGGTTTGTTGTCTACTCGTACAGTTAGTTGCCCTTTGTTATAAGTATAAATTTTTATTTAGGCGTAAATCTTTGTCATTAATACTAGATGCTTTTAACTGAACTAATGTGTTCTTCAAGTTTTCTAATAATGTTTTTTGTCTCATCCACGCCTGTTTCTTTGTATTGTTTTCTAGTCTAAGTTTATTATCTACCACTGAATTACAGAACTTCTGGATGTCCGGAAGTTTTTTTGCTTTTCTTTTATGGACCTTTTTCATGTGGAATTCAAAACGTCCTAGTAAAAGAGTATGGTCTGATGGAACATCTGCTCCCGGAAATGTTTTTTGCGGATTTGAATTTTGAAATCGTTTGTTGTTGATAATGTAATCAATCTGATTTCTAATCATTTTTTTTTGTACAGTCACCTGGAGATTTCCAGGTGTATAGTCTTCGTGGTGGTAATTGGAAAAAGGTGTTGATGATTGCACTGAACTGAATAAGACGGTCTCCTCTATCATTTCGCGTTCCTAGTTCAAAGTGTCCCACAGTATTACCAACACCTACTTTGCTTTCTTTGGCGTTGAAATCTCCTAGCAGGATATTCACTTCTTGTTTTTTGGTATATTTTAGGGATTCTTTCAATTGCTCATAGAATATTTCTATTTTGTGCTCTGAGCTTTCCAAAGTTGGGGCATATGCTTGAATAATATTCACGTTAACTGGTTTAGCATTAATTTTAAGTACTGCAACTCTATGTGATAGTCCTATAAAACTAAGTACACATTTGTTATAGTTTATTTTTATGAACGAGAGAGTAATTAGCATAATTTTAACTGGTATCTCCGACCACTCCATGGGCGTGCTCAAGATTAATTGAAAAATTACTTTGAATAATTGTAAAAAATAAATGAATTATTTCAGTGTTATAAAGTGTTATGTGTATGTAAACAAAAGTGACCTCTTTTATCACACACTATATTAGAACTGACTGGCCTACATTAAAAAGGGTTTTAAAAAATTCACATTTTTTTTAATTTTTAAAAATTACAAAAGAGAAAAAGAGTTTTTAAAACCGTCTAAGGTATGTTAAATAGATGAATAAAAATATTAATATAAAACTTACAGCTACTTGTTACAAATCCAAATCAGATTCAGAAGATGAACTTTCAGAACCAAGATTTATAATAACTGGCTCGATCATTTTATCAGTAATATTGTCCAGCTTCCACATTTTTTCCTCTTCTTTAATAGTGTGATTTACTGCCTTTTCCCAGTTTTCAGGTTTTACATTATTTACGGCCTCCAAAAACAACTGTTTAACATCATGAATTTTAAAAGTGGTATTTTTTCTTGAAACTTCACTCTTTATCTGTGCCCATACCAGTTCAATCGGGTTTAATTCACAATGATATGGTGGGGATCTAAGTACTGTCATTCCACGATTTTTGGCAATTTCATCAATTTCGTATTTTTTAAATTTTTCTTTATGAAGGGCACACAACGAATAAAGTTCCTTTCTTATAGATCCGGGATGGTACGTAATATTTTTTGAACTCAGCCAATTCTGCAAGTCTTTTTTTAACCACTTGGTTGTGGGCAGTCCTTCTATAAGTCTGGAGTGATAACTTGCATTATCCATTACTATTACACAGTTCTTAGGAAGAAGATCTATCATTTGTTCGAACCATTCTTGAAAGACATCAGCGTTCATGTCTTCATGGTAGTCACCGGTACGAGTTGATTCAAAAGTTAATAAACCACCTTCAACAAAACCGTCTGAACTGCCAATGTGTACTATTATCAGCCTGCGTCCCTTTCCTGATGGTGGGTTTAAACCAGTAGATAAGTTATTTACAAAAGCGTGCCTTTGACTTGTAACAGTTTCATCCTGCCAAAATTTATTTGGTGTATGACCCTCGTTGATCCATGTTTCATCAAGATAAAATATTTTTCTTTTTTGGTTTCTCATTTCCTTTATGGTTCTTAGAAAATGTCTTCTCCATATGACAATATCGCTTCTTTCTAATAAAATAGACTTTCTGGGATTCTTTTTCCAGCGGAAGCCTATTTCTTTTAAAAGTTTCCATAACGTACTTCGACTCATTTCTGGGTAATCCTTATCATCTCGAACTGAGACAAGAACTTTATCCAATGTTGGAAATTCTTGTCTAAAGAAGAATTCATGCACTTTCCGTCGAAGTCCTTCTTTAAAATGATATTCTATTTGAAATTTTGGTTTCCCTGGAGCATTACGTGGCATTTGAAAACTACCACATTTCTCTTCTTTAATAACTCTGTAAATCGTAGATTTCCCAACACCAAGTGTACTGCTAACTAACTCAACGGTCTCATCAACACTTTCACATAAACGTTTGTCTGTAAATGATTTAAAACAATTAAATATTAATGTTTTTTCATTAACTGTTAAAGGACCAATTTTTCGGCGTTTACACGGCACTTCCAAATTTTCCATAACACTAGTATACACAATAAACTGCACCTTGCAACTGAAGTACCTACTTTTAGTGAACTGTTAAGAATTTTGAATACGCCACTTGGACCTTCCTACAAAATGGAAAAACCCACTATCACATTTTCTGTGGAATAAGTTTAGAAGGTAATTATCTAGTCAATTACTGTCGTAGATTCCTGGAATTAAAGAATTAAATGTTTGATTGTTGAAACCCTTACTTCGTGGAATGCACTCATTTCAGATAAAATAAAACGTTTTATTTTATCTAAAGAATTAAACTTTATTTTGCAAATAGGTAGGTACTTATTAAACTTTTATTGGTTATATATAACCAATAAAATAAACATCTTACATTTCTTGCAAATTCATTAGTACCTGTTAACCTCCATCACTCCGACACTGGCAACCTTATTTAGGGATTAGTAACCCTCACAACTATTGTATTCTATTCTGCTCCAACCTTTATACCTGGTGGTCATACTCAATTTAAAATTGTTTTCCTATATACTTCTGTAAACTTGTTGACAAATATCTGTTTTTCATTGAGTCACCCGTATCAACAGTTTAGGGATTTGCATACATAATTTATTGTTTTATTACTCTCTCATACATAAAAATACACTATAACTTCTTTCTTTACTATTATAGCCACTCCGTTTTTGTTTCTTGTTGTAGTATCTCCACAGTAGTACATTGCGTGATTTTCTATTTCACACTGGCTTAAATTGGGCCATCTTACTTCACTGCATCCAAGTATGTCAATGTTGAATCTTCGAATTTCTTTAATTACGTTATTCACTTTTCCGACCTGGAATAAACTTCATACATTCCATGTACCAATCTACCTATCATGCTCAAATCTTAATATTTGTGACAAACGGGGGATTCTTAGCACCCTCTTCCCACTTAAGGGGTGCCCGGGACTAAGGGCCATTTCTATATTGACATGATCCGTTTTTGATTATACTAGGGAAAGTTAATTAGGGTGGTTTCCCGTTACCTTCCCTAATGATTTTTCTTTCGTGTGAGGTTTACTACTTGGGAATAGATGTGTGGGAGTATTTATTTGTTTTGGTAGGGATCTTGGGGTGGGGACATGATCCCCGGCACAGGTTGGGGGATAGCCATGTCTCGCGTGGGCAGGGTTGCATACTTAAAGTAGATCTATCTCATACCGGGATCGTACAAGAGTATCTACACGCTACCACCTTAGAGAGCACTAGATGGCGCCTTATATTTTTCATAAAATATCTAAGAACGCACCGTCATCGTCATGTAGAAATAATTTGCAACATTTAACTTTAAAAAATGTAGAAATAAGCAACTAAATCCGTCTAAACCAGTAAGTTGTATCTGACGACCTACAGATATGAAAAAGGCGTCATTTTTAGAATAAAAAGAAATTAATTAATTAATTCTAAAAACAAAATAAATAAATGTTTATTTTTTGTTTATACAGACAATGAAGGAGAGCTGTACCCAAGGCTGTGAATGTTCGCTGGAATATATAGCTCCTGATCCAATAACCAACATGCAGTATCCAATAATAATGGTCAATTGTTCAGGAAGGGGTCTAACAGAGCTACCAAGCCACCTGCCCCGCGACACTAGAATACTGCATTTGGAACACAATAGAATTAGCAATATAAAATCTCTAAAAACCGATCCCTCGTTAAAGCAACTTTGGGATTTGTATTTGGACAATAACACTATCGAGAGTGTCTCATATTTGGAAGGGTCGTACTGGTTGTCTCACTTCAGGGTGTTTTCGCTGAAGGGTAATCGATTGGCCAAGGTAAGGTGAGTTTCTAATCTTAATATAAAATGCAATTTATTGGATATTTCGTTCATTAGTTACTTAACTATTTCTTGTTGTAAATGACTTTTTTGTTATAATTTTTAGCTGCAATTGCACCTGAATGAAATATGTAATTGTATTTAAAAATATTGAAAAGAGTTTATGATAATATACAACATCAGCAGACTCATCCTTTTTATTGATTTTACTTTTCTTTAACATACCAGCTATACGAATAGATTAAGAATAATTTGTATAAATATGCTAATTATTGCAGTTACCATCATATGCCTTGGACAACGCATTAATGAAGAATCCAAATATGCCAAAAGCAGTGCGATTATTTCTTGGTGGAAATCCATGGAAATGTGACTGCGTTTTTACACCAGTGTTTCAAGTAGGTACTAAGTCTATTTTCAAATTATTCTGATAAGGATTTATACTATAAACCTCGAATAATAGTATATTACTTTACGAGGCGGAGAAGCATGACTTTGCTTTGAGAAAAGTCGCTTCTTTGCCGAATAAAGTATACTATTTTTTCTTCAAACGTAGCAATTTTCAACCATAAATAGTACAATTCATACGCTATTTTTACTCGAAATTAACTGTGACAACTATCAAAGTCATCTAGATGTTAGAAATTAAAATAATTAAGTCGTCGGTGGGATTTGCGTCTCCCTGGTTACAGTTGTTTGCAGTTGTTTGCAATTATAAAGACAGCTTAGTGTTTTTGCAACCGCAAGCGCAAATTTAGTGCGAAAATGGAAAACCTAAACGAAATTGAGTCCGCGGCTAATGATGCAGTAGCACGTTTGGGGCCCTCCAAGTCGGAATAAAGTATCGGTTAGAGTACAAGCACTTCCAAGAGTGGTGCGATACAAGAGGAGTACGGCAAGTTACCGAAGACGTTTTACTGGCATATTTTAATATAACGAAAATGAAAATAAATGGAAATCTTCTACAATGTGGTCACGATACTCTATGATAAAATCCGAGTTAGTTATTAGAAAAAATGTGGATATAAGCAAATTTTTAAAGTTACGTAGCTTTCTGAAAAAAACAAGCGAAGGATATACTGCAAAGAAGTCTAAAGTTTTCACTAAAGACGAGTTTGATATATATTTTTTATAGTTTGATGAGAAAATATTTCAGATTGTTTTGTTAATTGGGTTACCGGCGCCTGTCGATGCGACGAAATGTTAAAAATGAAGACTGTGTACATTGAGGATAAAGAAAATGTAATAATTATCAAAATCCAGACAGTAAAACACGACAAATTAGATCTTTTACGATAATTGGTCAAAACTACATTAAACTGTATAAAAAGTATGCATCACTGCGGCCTGAAAATTTACAGAAAACCGATTTTTTATCAAGTACCAAAATGGAAAGTGTTACCGAAGCGTCATGGGAATACATTCGATCAGCGCAGTAGTCCAAAAAGTAGCTAGTTATTTAAATTTAAACGATGCAAGCGCATACACGGGTCACTCTTAGCTTGTCAATGCTCAAACGACATGGGGCTGGAAATCAAGCACGGTTGCCGAAGGATATATAGAAGATTCAATAAGAAATAAGAACGATAATGCTCAAAAAATTTTAAACCCTCATGATTCGCCAACATCGGGAATGATTGCTGAAGTTGTTCTCGACCATCAGTATCATCAACAATTACCAATGGTATCAGAGTCGGGAACATTTTTGCACGGTTTCAATTTTGAAAATGCCTCATTAACTAATTGTACTTTTAATATTACTATAAATAAAAATGATGTTTAATTGTTGTTAATGACATTTGTATTGTTGCTTTGTGACATGTTTCATATTGTTGCCATGACAACATTTTTCCCTCCGCCGTAAAGAAATGGGAAAAAAAACTGCTGCTGGCGGTGGCATCAAACTTTGACAAGATCAAGTTAGATAAGTAATGTCATCATTATTTGACGTTTGAAGAAAAAATAATTTTCCATTTTATTAAACATTTAATAAACTATTTTCGATCTTCAGTCATCTCTTCAGTCATCATTGAGTATTTGTATCAGTGTTTTTTATAGAAAATGACTGAACTGTTCTACTAAAGGGCAACAAATTACAATTTTATTCTAGAAAACATCCTAACTTCTCTATTTAATGCCAATATACTACAAATTTTGACTTGGCAAAGTGGAACTAAAACATAAATACATGTGACCAATTCTTTTTAATGCCTATTCCGAAGCTATCCTGAAAAAAGCTCTTGAGGATGAAACGGCAGGAACCATTACCAACATTAGGTATGTGGCACTGTGATCATAACCAAAAATTTTGAAGAACTTCAGAGACTGGTGACCAAAATAGCGAAGTATGGAAAAGAGTACGATCTAACAATGAACGTCAAGAAGACGAAATTTATGAGAATATCGAAAACTCAAAGAAATAACTAGAATCTTCTAATAAACGGAACCAACTTCGAAAAAGTGGACAAATGTGCATATTTGGAAACAATGATTAATTTCACAAATGATTATATTCAGGAGATCAAAATCATAATACAAAAGGCTAAAGCAAATTTCAACAAAATGAAAGTACAACAGGATTTCAAAATTGGAACTAAGAGTTAGGTTGGCAAGGTGCTATGTTTTTTTAATTTTGTTTTATGGAATGGAATCTTGTACCTGAATGCGACATCAATGAAAAAACTGTAATTATTGGAACTGTATAATTATGAACTTTTGACTTGGAAACCGACATAGAAGCACTACTTTTGGAAATTGTTCTTAAATTAGAACGTGTTTTAATTAAAAGTGTCATTTATTTCTATTAAATAGAGTACTTAATCTACAAATAGCACAAGAATATATTTTTAGAACCATATTAAGAAAACGCCTTATTGCAATCTAAAAAATAAACAGATTTGTTTTAGTTTACAGATCTAGACATCCTTGGGTAAAGATAAAATACCATATAGGTATATTATCATCATGTCTTTTATAATATAGCGTTTCATTCTTAAACCAATTTTATATTTAAAATCGATCATTTCGACACAACTTATCTAATACTAATCAATATCGACCTATATGCTGAACACAATCTTTATACAATTCAATTATACTACTCATTCACTTATATACCTACCTTATTATGAATTGTTTTTATTTTTGTATTAATATCTGTATATATTATTTTAGGAACTGGTTTTACAAAAATATTCTTTTCAAATTGATGACTTAAGAGATGTGAAGTGTTCTTATATGAGAAACGATGAAAATTCTTTAAAACCGGTAAGTAAATGTTTTGCGTAAGATTCCTTCAATGAGAACTCTTCATTAAGTATGGATCTAACAGACAAGTTACGCGAATTTGCAGGAACCAACAAAATAGGAAATAACAAAATATTGGCACGATATCTTGTAAACGGTAGATCATAACAATCCTAAAACTAGATCTTTTGATATGTTTTTTGTCTCATTGTATTTATATATACAAATTTATAAGCATTATTACTATGCAGTTCCACTGCGCCTGTATTTTTGGATTTTACAAGCGTAGTTAACAAGTAAGAAAGGTTCAAACCCCATTACGGTGTTCAAGCAGTTTCCGTTTTGGTTGTTGTCGTTTGGAGCTTGTCACAGAAGGATTATCTTCATCATCATTACCGTCTTGCAATCCCTGGGGACTGCAATTGTGCCTCTTGTCCATTTATTTTAGTCTTTCAATTGACTTTTTTAATTCTTGATAGTCCTTCCCATCATCATAGTACATCATTCCAACATCTTCTTCTAAGTCTTCCCCTGCATCTAGGACATAATGGTATCCAATCAGTTAGTTATCCTTCTCAGAATATCAATGTGTGTTCGTCTTAATATATGTCCAATCAATTGTAAGTAGCGAGAGTTTTTATCTCTGGTAGTTTTTCTTCTTTTCATCTTCAATTCAGTTCTTTCTTCTTCTTCAATCTTGATCTTTTTTGTTAATCGTTGCTATTTGCTTTCCATATGTATCAACAGGTCTTATTAAAGTCTTGTATGTAAAAGTTTAGTTTTTTTCTTAAATTCTGGCTTTTTATCAGATCTCTACCCATTTTATATGCTTTCTTCCTGTTCAAAATTTGTTTATTTTTATTTATTCTCTATTCTTTTTTGATTTTATCATTTGTCACTTCTAGCTAAGCACTTACGTTTTGTGTACAAGCAAAGAGGAGAATACAATTATTTAGTCATTAAAAAAGTAGCCTATATTATATTTCTTCATGACAGAGTGAAAAATGTGATATTCTTTTCACTATCCATTATATGAAGTCACCATTTTTTGATATTATGGGACGTACTGGGAAGAAAAATTCACTTAAGTAAACCCATGCTAAAAACTGGATGAGCTTGATATTCAACCTTTAATTACGTCATTGATAAGATGTGTTATAAGGATTTATATTAATTACTTAATAATATTAACATGATTTTCTTATAACAAATAAGTTATTCATGAAACTTCGTTATGGTTTGAGCTGATATAATTTCTAATGCTTATACTGGCTTTATGTTTACAAACGAAGGTTCTATGATAGGAAAACAATACATAATAACTATTATGTACGAGCATATGGTATCTCTTGCAGTATTCACAGGATCAAATTTTATTTTTCCTAAGATAATTGATGATATCGTGCTAGGACCATCAATGAATATATAGAAGTACCAGTTGACATTCCACATTTAAGTAACTCAATGCTGAAACGTGTTATAAGTGCCTATATTATTTAGAAAATAAAATAAACATCAGTTTCTTTTAAATGTACGTTTTTTCATTAAAGACATTTTCTTCAGTTTACCCATCGAGCAAAAGACAAAAGAGGAAATGTAAATTTAGTGGGGGCAAAAATATTATTAGACAGGAAGTGCCATCTTTAGAGGCCACATTAAACAAGGAAAGAGAGTCTTTCCTTGTTTAAGAAATCAAATTTAGTTGGGTTATGTTATTGTTTGTCCCAACTGTCACATGAAATCTTATTTATATTGCAGTTTTTTAACAATTGTGTCACATTTTTGACTATTATCGTTATTAATTAATTAAAACTTTCTCGTCTAAGACACATTTTGAAAACTATTTTATAGCTACTGTTAATAAGTGTCGGAAAATTTAAATTTGGCGCATTCGCATTTCCGGATATGTCCGCCATCAGAGGCCACTTTTTTGGTCTCCTTTTCATAACGATTAGATTCCCTCTTTTGTCTTTGTGCTCGATGAGTTTACGAAATTTTATATATACAGATTGATTTGTATATTTTTCAGATTATAAATTTGTCGAGGAGCTCCGTTTGCATCGTCTCATCGGATTTCTCTTTGCAAGAGGGTCTGGATCTCCTGAATGCGGTCCTGGCCAGCCTCATAATTTTTATTTTGGGCAAGCTAGCTTATGATTACTACCATTTCAAGAAATCGGGGAAACTTCCATGGATAGTATCGAGAATGCCTTAGCTGACTAATATTTAGTTTTACCCTTTAGTTGTATTTATGACCAATTTTGTAGATATTGTATATAAAATGACTCTATTTTTAATTATACATGTTTTTTATTCTTCCAGTCATGTCATAACAGATAATCAGTCAGCTAGAGAGACAAATTTTCCATGCCCTAGTACGCATATGTAAGTGTCCAACAAAACGATATTTTAAACCTAGGCTAAAGTAAAAAAGTAGTTGTATATTTTGGACCAGTACCAGTACAACGCCTTAAGTCCTCAATAGAAAACTATACTCATCATTTTTTAATTAATATGGACGTCAAATGATCCATTTGGATTTTTAAGGCTCAAAAACACAAAATTACGTTCTAACATACTACCAGCCAACGTTTTCTGAATCTATTTCGTCTGTGTGTCAAAGTGCTGACATATTTAATTATTGGTCCTTTTTACACCAAAAACATTAATCATCATTATCTTGGCCTTTTTTCCTATGTGGGGTCGGACTCTTTAATTATATTTCTCCATAAGTGTCTATCTTGGGTCATATCTACATCATCTCCCCAGGTCTTTTTTGGTCTTCCTCTTCTACTACTTCCAGGAATCCGCAGATCAGCAATTCTTCGTCTCTACATTGAACATGACCAAACATGTAATATACTCATTCCTAATTTTATCCTTTTTTGTCACTCCATTCATCCATCTAAATCATTCTCATTTCCGCCACATGCATTCATTGTTCCTCTTTCTTTTTAACTGTCCAATATTTAGTTCCGTACAACATAGCTGGTCTATAAAACAGCAATGTTTTGTCTCTTTAGCTTCATTGGAATTTTATTGTCACACAACACATAACTCGCTTGATTTTTTAATGAATATATTAAATACTTTGTTTTTATCCTACTTACTTTTAAACCTTTTTTCTCCAGAGCTTGTTTCCACTGCTCCAGTTTTTCTTCAAAGTCGTTTTCATTATTTTCTACCAACACTACATCATGAGCATACATTAGGTACCACGGAATATTATCCTGCAGTTTCGCTGTTTTTATTTACATCATGAGCATACATTAGGTACCACGGAATATTATCCTGCAGTTTCGCTGTTATTAAATACTTTGTTTTTATCCTACTAAGTTTTAAACCTTTTTCCCCAAGAGCTTGTTTCCACTGCTCCAGTTTTTCTTCTAAGTCGTTTTCATTATTTCCTACCAACACTACATCATGAGCATACATTAGGTACCACGGAATATTATCCTGCAGTTTCGCTGTTATTTGATCCAGAACTAATGAGATTATTATATAAGGAGTAAGCACCGAGCCTTGCTGCAATCTTACTTTCATTTAATTTTATCTGTCTCTTCCGCACCTGTCATTACACTATTTGTTATTCCCTTATGAATATCTCTCACAATCTTTACATATTCAATGGGGACTACTTTCTTATTGAGTGCCCACCACAGAATCTCCCAGGAACTCTATCATATGCTTTTTCAAGATCAATGAATACCATATGGGCGTTTGTTTATTTATTCCTGTATTTTTCCACTAACTGCTTTATAATGAAAATTGCGTGTGTTGTTGATCTGTTTTGCATAAAGTTAAACCAATTATCGGATATTTCGGTTTCTTCAAGTATCTGTCTTTCAATTACTCTCTTCCATACTTTTATGGTGAGACTAAATAGTTTTATTGTTGTACAACTATACATTGTTATACATCTCCCTTGTTTTTGTAAACAGGTACTAATACATTGCTTCTTCATTCATCTGGCATTTGTCCAACTTCCATAATTCTATAAAATAGACCTGTTAACCAATTTGTTCCTATCTCTCGTAATGCTTTCCATACTTTTCCAGAAATACCATCTAATTCAACTGCTTTTCCTGTCATGATTTTTTGAATTGCTTAAGCTACTTCGTCGTTTGTTATTTTGGTCATCATCGCTGTTACTGTCTGATATAATAATGTTGGATAATCATATAATGTTTATAAGATTGTTTCCATCAGGGGTTCCATATAGTGGAACTCTGGGGGTATTTTCCCCCCTGCATGGGGTTGATGGGCAGAAAATCTTGCCGAAGAAGCGCGAGTCGCCGATGAACATCAAAACATGAGACAATTATATAATATCACTAAACAACTAGCCAATAAAAGATATACTACCCACCAACCAATTGTAAAAAGTGCTACAGGTGAAGATATTACAACGCCACAGGAACAAGTCAAAAGATGGCATGAATATTTTAGCGAATCTCTAAGTGCAGTCCCAACACCACCAGAAGACGCAGAAAACCTAATACCCAATATCCAACTGAGAATTAACACCAACGAACCAACAACGCAAGAAATAGAAATGGCCATAGAAAAACTGAAAGCACACAAAGCAGCCGGCCCTGACAATATTCCACCAGAGTTGTTAAAAGCTTGCCCAGGTACAGTGGCAGAGCTAATCCAACCACTCTTGAAAAGGGCTTGGAGAGAGGAAAAGTTCCCCAAAGAATGGAAAACGGGATTAATAATAAAGATACCAAAAAAGGGTGACAGAAGATATTGCGAAAACTGGAGAGGAATCACACTTCTGAATACTATAAATAAATTAACAGCAATAATTATAAACAACCGACTAACAAAGAGTGTAGAACCAATGTTGAGGAAGGAACAAGCCGGTTTCAGACCAAACAGATCATGCGTGGACCAAATTAACACACTAAGAATAATTGTAGAACAGTCACAGGAATTCAACTCTCCTCTCTTTGTGTGCTTTGTGGACTTCAAGAGAGCTTTTGACACGCTCACACACACGGCCATATGGAAAGCACTGCAGGAAATAGGAATACCAGAAAAAATAGTAAATCTCATCAAAGAACTCTACAGTGACACAGAAAGCAAAATCCTACACAACGGCATAACATCTGACCCAATAGCTATGCTAAACGGAGTAAAGCAGGGCTGTGTTTTATCCCCTATACTATTTAACATTGTACTGGACTCCGTACTAACAAAGGTAAACTCTAATAGAGGAATTTACTGGGGATTAACAAACAGACTGGAAGACCTAGATTACGCTGATGATATATGCCTCCTAGCACATACAAAACAGGACATGCAACTCCAAGTAAACAAAGTACAAGAAGAATCAAAGAAGGTTGGTCTAGAAATAAACACCAACAAAACCAAAGAAATGCGATTTGGTACCAGAAACAACCAACCTATTATTATCAACGACCAGAAAATTGAGAGAGTAGCGGAATTTGTATATCTGGGCAGCATAATTGACTGTAATGGGGGTACAGAGCGTGATGTACATGAAAGAATAAATAAGGCTCGCAACGCCTACAACATGCTTAACAACATATGGAAATCCAGGATTTACCCAACGAAAACGAAACTAAAAATCTTCAACACAAACGTAAAAGCTGTATTACTGTATGGCTGCGAAACGTGGAAGATATCAGCACCCATAGTACACCAATTACAAGTTTTCATTAATAGAGCGTTACGAAAAATCCTTCGTATATTTTGGCCTAACCGAATCTCCAATGAAAATTTATGGAACCAAAGCAACCAAGAAAATGTCATAAAGCAAATAAGGCGAAGAAAATGGAGATGGCTGGGCCACACACTCCGTAGACCGCCAAATGACATTGCCAGGACAGCACTGGATTGGAATCCCCAAGGCCGACGGAAAGTAGGCAGACCTAAGGGAACTTGGAGAAGGACAGTACTGGACGAAGGGAGAACAATGGGAAAATCCTGGCTTGAAATCAAAGCACTAGCCAGAAATAGAGTTCGCTGGAGACACTTTGTGGAAGCCCTATGTTCCTCTTAGGAATCTTGGGATTAACTCGAACTCACTGGATACTCAAAATTACTTTATTGGTTCTCTAAGTACAATAATACAGAGAGTACCCAGTAGACGGATGACAGCACTAGCTTCTACTATTCACTATTAATTCTTTGTGATCTATTCCCCGTAATTTTCCAGGTATTTAACTCACTTCAATGCAACCAAAAGTCGCCAAGTAATTACTTCACTTTGAGACTTGCACGTTTTCTATGGACCTAGAGATCTCTACTGTAAGAGACTGCCACTATAAAGTTCAATTAATAAATAATGGCTTTCTACTAGGCTTATTCTAGTCACAGCATAGGACATAAAGTACTAGTCACAGCTTGTAAAAGTCTGAAATCAATCTAACTAAAAAATAAAAGTTATACATCAGAAATCCTTCACCAGATTTATTTATTTAACAATGTTACTAATATTAAAAAAAATATAAATATGCTTAGTACTATATCTTCATTTTAATTAATTCAAAACATACTGCTTATAATCATTGAGTGCATTAAGGAACACCTTCTCGACTGTTAGTGGTCCATCTAAAAATAAAACATGAAAAATTAAGAGATAAACGAAAAGTAAATAAATCTAAAAATTTATATGGATAAAAATGTTTATCAGTAGCTTCACATCTTTTTTATTTATGTATTACATTAAATACTCTAAAGATGTTACTTTAACCATAAAGCTAACCTTATTCCATGAAACCCTAACCATGAAGCTATTGCCACAATCGAGGTGTAACACCAAGGTGCGTAAGCACAAAGATATATGTTACAGGGGAAAAGTATTGCTTTAAGCGATGTCTTAAACAGCTGGTGAACTCTGGGGGATTATAACCATAGCGCGGTAATGGTGCACTAACAGTATTTTATCTCAACTCGAGGTAATAAAAATGAAAAACGTAATAAAAGACAAAAGAGATGCCTCAGAAGTGAATTTCTGATTTCAAATTCAGATCTTCAGTAATCTAGATTTCTAAGTATTACATTTTGTCCACTTGCTCAATATCTTCATTTTTTATCTGGATCCTTATAATGACTTTGCCCCTCTTACTGATAACCATAGTTTTTGTTTTCTTTATGTTTATTGATAGACCAACTTGTTTCCCAGTATCACAAATTGTGTTTAGTAACGTTTGCAGGTCTGTCTTACTTTCAGCGATAATGACTGTATCGTCAGCATAACTGATGTTATTTATATTTCACCATTTATCTTGATCCCTTCTGTACAGTTTTCAAGTGCTGGCGTAAATAATTCTTCGCAATATATACTAAATAGTAATGGTGAAAGTACACAGCCCTCTGTATCACTCCTCTACTTATCTGTTGCGCATCCGTGCTATTTCCATGTAATGTTACCACAGCCTGTTGGTTCCAATAGAGATTTCTCACTATGTTAATATCATTATCCAATTTTTATTTAATTTTGGATTTGAGAGATTACATTAACTTTTAGAGATGTAATACTTACCAACGGGTACCAACAATGCTTTACTTGCGTCAGAATCCTGCCTAGCAGAGGATAGTGCATTCCGAAGAGCAAGTAGGACAGATACTGTTAAACACATGGGCGGTTCAGCTACAGCTAAAATATAAACAAAAATAATAATATATTACTCTATATAAATCTTTATAAATCATAAGAAATAATATAGGGTTTAACATTTAGCAGGATTAGCATGAAAAAAAACATTTGAAATAAAGGTGTATTAATTAAGTGATTTTTGAGGTGGTCAAAGAATTAAAATACCTAGGAGCAACAATTACCAGTGAAAACACAGGAGAACGGAAGGTTAAAATACGAATACTGGCGGGGAATAGATCATTTTTTGCCATTCAACATCTAATGAGGTCAAAGCTTCTCTCAAGGCATGCCAAAATCCAAATGTACAAAACCATAATACGACCAGCAGTGACATAGAAAAGTGAAACATAGATTAAGATGGGCAGGCCACGTGGTACAAAGTGATGACGACAGACTGATTAGCAATGTGTTTTGGGAAAGACCAGATGGTAAAAGATCGACAGGAAGGCCTAGAAAAAGTTGGAAAGACGCAGTCAGGGAAGACCTGGAGAAGATGGAAGTAAGGCCATGGGAAATAATAGCACAGGATCGGAATCAATGGATGGCAATAGTAAACGTGGCAAAAACTCACGAATAGTTGTAAAAGCCAATTACGATGATGAATTAAGTGATTACATACTGCTAAATCCTTTTCCTTGCATTAGCTATTTAGACTACTGAGTTGACTGTGTTTTAAATACTTTTGCAAGGACTTTAAGCCATCTAATTATTTAATTTCTGCAAAATTGATACTATTAGTTTTAAATTTTCATATATTCAGTAACATAAAAACATCAAAACTGATTTTACAGTGATCTTTTAGAACCTATGTAGGTAGGTACTTCATATTGTATTTTTTTTTTTTGACAAACGAAATTTTAAAACGTTTATTTCAAGAGTGTGTCTTTACTTCTTTAGTGTTTGAACTCAATCATAAATTCCGTCTGATGTGGAAAGTTGGAAACCATCTCAGCCATGATGGTTCCCAACCTAGCAACTGCAGACCTATAAATAACCTATAAATAAATATATGTTTCAAACATATATTCACATCGAGTTTGTTATTAAACTAAAATCAGTACGCAACAAAAGATATTTTCCTAAATCAAAAAATCTTTTATTAACACTTATCAAAATCGTTTTACCTTTAGACTTGAGAACTCCCACTGGATTAGGACTATTTTCAGCAAACTTTACGTTAAATTTTTGAGGAATGTCTTTGGCCCCGGGTGGTTTGTATGTCCAAGTTCTGTTAGTCAAGAGTTGACCATCTTTGTCAAAAATAAGTTCTTCGGTTGTGAAGTAGCCGATACCTTACAAATAAAATTGAGGTCATAATATGTAGACAAGTGGATTAAGTGTCTAAATTATTAAACATACCCATTACAAATGCTCCTTCAATTTGGCCTATGTCTACTAACGGACTCATGCTCTCTCCTAGATCCTCGATAATATCTACTTGCAGCATTTCGTGATTGCCTGTCAACAAATCTACTTCGACAGTTGTGCAGCAAATACCATATACGGGATATTTTTGTATCATAGGGTCTTCACTACCATAGCTACAAAAATAATAGAAATATTAACTTAAATAGTAGTGTTACTAGTTTTTATTTATCTATTTCGTACAAGAGCTAAATCTTACAGTTTACATCTTACGTGACAACACTGCAGTATGAAAGCAGTCTCATTGATTGGATCACACCGCATGTACACCTGTCATCTCCCTAAATGAATCCCCAAGAGACCATATTTTGTTTAGATCTTCAGACATCTATACAAAGTCTACTTAGTGTTTTCCATCTTTGCCAATTAAGTTGTGCACCTGACGGGAGTACTTCTGAAGATGACGTGGGATAATGCCTAGACTCTGTCAATGCATGGTCTTCTAGATAGAAGTCGTTCATGTACAGGAATATGTCCGAATAGAAGATGACAATGGTCATTTATCTGTTTAGTTCGCTTTACCATGCTCTGCGTTTTCCTTCTTATAACTGGGGAAGTGATCCCTTGAGGAAATGGGGCAGGCATTGTTCTGCTGTTGATAAGCAGGGTGCTAGTTATGGTTGGAAGCACACTTTTGAGTTAGCTCCCCATTTAGATGATGTTAGTCTCTGTAGCACATTTAGCTTTAGTATTTTCAATGTGCTACTAGTAGCTTAACGTTCTATCTATCATTACTCCGAGATATCTTGGGAATAGACAATATGATAATGTGACTTAATTTCATTGAACGTTAAGGCTTTTTTTAGCTTTTCTTTGTTGAGATGAGAGATGGTAATTTATGTTTTGTGCATTTCGGTGCAGCTAATTTTCCCTGTAGTATGTTGACAACGATTCAAACTACTTCATAAAATGTTTTTTTTTATATTCAGAAGACTACTACATTGATAGGCAGTTACATGACTATCAGCATAACTAAATGTTTTTGGTACAGTCTGACCAAATTTACTTCATATTTGAGATGCGCACAAAGAGAACGGAATTCATGGAACTCGCAAGCGAGACAGAAAACGATAGTACACTCCGCGCAGATATTTTACTTTGCGAGACGTTATCAAAATAAAATTCTAAAAATTCGGTTAAAAATATGTTTAAATAAATATATGCATCCAAATTTCAATTATAAAGTGAATTTGGTCAGACTGTACATTATGTTGATGGTCATATAATTCAAAGAGTGTCCAGTTTTAATTATCTTGGTTGTCATATTACTGAACAAATAGATCCAGATCAAGAGATAAAATGTAAAATCGAGATAGCCCGCACAACATTTTTAAAAATGAGGTCATTCTTCTGTAATGATAACTTGCAACTTCAACTTCGAAAGCGCATGGTTAAATGCTATATTTGGTCAGTCCTCTTATACGGTGTCGAAGCATGGACATTAAAAATATCCACATTAATCGTCTGGAGGCCTTTGAAATGTGGCTGCACAGACGTATACTAAAAATTCCATGGACGGCTATGCTGACAAATGTGGCAGTCCTTGAAAGAGCAAATGCTGCTCGCGAGCTGCTTGATAACATCAAATGTAGAAAGATGGCCTATTTTGGACACGTAGTAAGGGGAGACCGATATAATATTCTTCAACTTATTATGATGGGTAAAATCGAAGGACGCAGAGGAACGTCAAGGGGACTTGATAGGGCACGTTAAGAAGAAGTACATTACGGATCAGTTGGACATTAGTCATTATTACACTATTTTGTAGTTTTTGCTATTTTGTACATTTTGTTCAGGAGTATTCGATAGTAAACAGTATCCTATTCAGCCGTTAAATCAATAAATACGACTTCTTTTTCTTATTTTTCACTGGCTTAATAACTTGGGGTAAGTCTTTGCCGCATCCACTATAGCCCTTTATCCTCTACGATCTTGCGCTTCTATTTCCCATTGTTGTACCCCAATTCTAGATAAATCGGCTTCGACATCATCCTTCCATTTTTTTTGGTCGGCCTACTGATCTTCTAACATCTGGTCTTTCAAAAAACACTGTCTTTAATACTCTAACTATGTTTTCAGTTCCATACAGAGTCACCAATTCAGCATTGCTGCGTCTTCTCCAATCCCCTGTGAATTGATCTCTTGGAGGGCTATATCGAGTTATCGACTTGTACAGTGTTAATTTAGATTTTCTTTTTAGCAGCTTCGATTTTAATAATGTTGAAAGGGAATATAATGCTCTATTTCCCGCAGCTATCCTTGCTGAGACCTCTTTTTCTATGTGGTTGTCAGCTGTGATTATCGCCCCCAGGTATTTAAACTCCTTTACTACTTCGAAGTTGTGATCATTAATACTGATATTTGCCTAATTTTGGTCTTGGATTTTTGGTTACTACCATGTATTTCGTCTTGAATTTATACCAAATGGCATCGATGTTCTGCTTCCTATCTTTACTTGCGCATTTGAGTGTGTCACGCACATTTGCGTTAATTCGACTAATTTTCTTGATATTCCCATTTCTAACATTGCTATCCACAATTTGCTTCTTTTTATGAAAGCATATGCTTGCTGGAAATCTATGAAAATTTGAGAAAATTTGGACTCCAGTCTTTAATTCCTTTTGAAATCTGTCCTCAATGTACTGGCTAAGATTAAGTATTTGACATGTACATGGCCTTCTGCTCTAAATCCTGTCAGCTTCTCTATAAGGTTTTTTTCTATATGTAGATTCACTCTATTTAATATCAATTGTTCCTACAGGTGAATTTTGAATACAGGAGATAGATAGGACAGTAGTTTTTTTGGGCCTTCTGAATCTTTTCCTAGTTTTAATCCAGCTACTACTTTAAACTAGTTTTGAGATCTCAGCCTGTGCCCAACTTTGATTTAGGACCTTTAATAGCCATGTTTTCGAAAAAAATACTCACACTTTTAATGATTTCATTAATTTATAATACAAAAAGAAGTCCATGGAGCTTAATTTTTTAATATGGTAGTTGTCTGAATTTTTTATTTAAAAGGAATGAGAGCTACTTGTCTTAAATTCAGAAAATAATAATACGCGCGCATCCCATCTAAGGAAAATATCCCTTTAATGCAGATTTAAGCAATAAAAATTATTATATGTGGATTTAAAAGATAGATATTTTAGATTTCTACTTACAATCCTGTGGCATTTAATTGAATATTTGCAGCAAATGACGCGGCAACTACCTTTTCCCATGATTTATCTTCCAATCCATCTTTTATAGGCTGCATGCGTTCCAGAAGCTTATCACAAGCTTTTATTATACTCTAAAATAAGTCTTTATAAAAATTCTGCATTTTAGTATATAATATAATCCTTACATAGCAAACTGCTTCACTGGTTAAGCTACCTCCTGTGGAAGTGGCATTCGGATTAATGAAACTGTATGTAGGCTTAATAGATACTTTATCGAGTGGTATTCCAAATTTATAGGCACAGACTTGAGCTGCCTACAACAAAGTAACTCATGAACTAATCTCGTATAACCTATTGTATAGGAATTTATATTTAAACAAATTTAGATACATTTACCTTTGTGTTAATACCTTGACCCATTTCTATACCTGCATGGGAAATGGCAACCCCTCCATCAGCGTGGAAAATTGAAACAACTACTGAGTAAGTAGCTGCTACCTCCAAATACCACTCTATTGGAACTATTGAGATGCCTTGTTTCTTCCACCTATTTTCCTATAATTAAAAGACAGTTAACAAAAGCTACAAACTAAACTTTAAGATGCATGTTATGATAATAAACAGAGGGGAACAGTTTGTTCATGTCAGTTTGAACTGAACGTGAACTCACAGAATTTGTCAAGAAGCGTAAACGTCTTATCTTGGACACATATTTAGACATGACAGGTATAACTTCCTTCAGCTTATTATAGAAGATAAAATAGAAGGCAGACGCGGCCCAGGTAGACGACAAATGACCTTTAAGATTTGGCAACCTGGCATGAATTGTAAAAGCGTAGGTATTGGACTAGCTTAGGTAATCATTGTGAGTTACTGTGTAGTTGCCTTTCTTTGTGCAGTTGTTCAAGATTGCGCAAGATCGCAATCGCTTCGTATTTTTTACGAAAGGTTAGTGTTTGTAAGTTACAAAGTGTAAGTTTTTTATCTTGGTATTATTATGTTTTCTCATTCACAGACAATTTAATCAAAAAACGGCTGAAAATTTGACGATAAAAGACCTTTAACTCAATTAGAATTGGAATTGGAGGCCGAAAAAATATTGACGGGTGAATAAGATGTTGTTAGCCTACAATCAAATGACGAAGCTTCTAGTAATTCAGAATGTGAAGACAGAGTGCAAAATTGTTTCAGCCTGTCTAAATCTAGCGACGAGCCAGAGTTTTCTGGTGATAAAAGCAGCGACTTTGAGTGTAGCAGTCCTAAAACGAAAAAAAGAGAGCCTAATAACCACTCTACTTCTGTTTCTATGCCTAGCACTTCATGTAAAGTTCAATTTGAGATTTCTTCTTTGGAAACCGACCTTCAACAAGACCATTTATTTCAGCAAATAATAACTTAGCCTCAACGAAAAAGGTAATAAACAATCTTAGGTTCAATGATAAAACCATAAGAATTAAAAGAAAAAATATGGATAGGTTTGTTCTTATCGGGGAAATATTCTTCTTCTTCACTGGCTTTACAATTCGAGGTGAGTCTCCATCCTCTACGATCTTGCCCTTTTATTTCCCATTGTTGTATCTCAATTCTAAATAAATCGGCTTCAACATCATCCTTCCATCTTTTTCTCGGTCGACCTTCTGTAGAATATTAGGAGAGACTAAAGGATTTATCAATGTACTTGTCTAGAAGAATAAATTTGTTTCAACCGGTATAATAGAATACAATCAAAGGGGTGTAGGTCCTCCTGCCAATAAAAAAAGTATGAACGATATAACTTCAAAAGACACGTGTCAAACGTGTGATATGATAACGATGTAGATGAAATTAGCTGAGGAAAACGGAGATTTAAAAATTCAATTAGCTGAGCATCATTTGCAGGCTGAAAAGGTTTATTCTGCAAAACGAGCCAGTAAAGCAAGAGCTCAAGAAAACCCCTCGTTTCGGGCTTATGCGTTTGACCTCCAACAGTGTCCATCCACACCACTTTTATAAACCTCAATTGCCTTTTACAAGAGGTAGCTTTGGATCTTTAATTTAACGGTTCCCGACTTGGCAACGGGTGAAGCTACGTGTTAAATGGGGGGTGAGACAATTGGAGCACGTGGTGCAAAGCAAATCGCATCCTGTCTGTGGCACTTTTGTTTAAATTATCTTTCACTAGTTGTCAAAGAAATTACTACATACTTACATACTCCTTTCACTTAAACGTAATAACGAAAGAACCTTTACCAATAAGCAAAGAAAAGAAAAAAGATCTTCTGGATATTTTACATCTAATAGATCTTTTGTTCCACGATTTCGTTTCAAATATAAAAACAACTGAAACCAAATCAACATATCCCGATATTGACAAAAGAGATACATATGATGTCGATAACGACAATGCAGATAAAGAAGAATTGTTCCTGTTAGTTTCTGAGAGAAATATTCCAAATCGAAGAACTTTTTTACAAGTAATTGTCAAAAATTTAAATCAATGTCCTGAAAAACTGTATTTTTAGACATGTTAACATATTCACGCCAGTCACGGAAATTAAGGTTAGTGTTTTAGGGTTGAGAAACCATTGAATAATAAAAGTGTGGAGTAGTCTGCGCTACTATCACACCAAACGTGTTGGCGTCCCGCTAAACCAGACTTGCGTATTATATCAGGCTCAATAAGGCTATGCCAACACTCAAGAAACAACCCTCAGACTCTAGAGAATTCTAATTATGCATAAAACACAAAAGTAACCTTTGGAATTCTATAAGCAGCTAAAACAGCAAATCAACATGACAAATAGCGCCACCTGTTGGAGATCAACCAAAAACTGTAGATACTTTTGCATATTACGATTTTGATCAATATGTTTTACCTATTGTTACATCCTTTGTCGTATTGTTACCTACTTTATTAAATTTAGCAACTGCGGTTTTTCGCTTTTCAACATCAGTCCAACTTTTTAAATCCTCCAAGTACTTGGGAATTTGTGGGATAGTGATGTTGGCTAGCCTTACATCCATTGGGTCCTGATTTACAGCGTAGGCAATTTCATCAAATATAATTTCTGTTGTAGCAACTCCTTCCAAAGTTCCTACAAATATTCATGTATTACTTAAATATTATTTACACCGTATGATAATTTTTAACTAAAATTATCAATGTACCTTTTAAAGTTTTAAAATATTACCTGGAGCTCTCGCGTAACAATATGGTGCACTGTCAGTGGTCACTTTATACGCAGAAAATTGCCAAGTAGAAACATCATAACAGTTTCTTAAACCATCCATCAGCATATCTCCCAATGGCTCGTTACCTCCAAGACCAAAATCGGAGTATACTTTAGAATCCAAATATTGTACAACACCTGTATCGTTCACTCCGACCTCATACGTTACATACGTAGGATAGCGCTTGCCGATAATGTTCATATTTTGTTGGAAAGACATGATCATTGTGGCAGGTCGCTTAAGTTTGTATGCGGCTAGAGCAGTTGCCGATGAAACTAGGGCATTTCTGAACATTTTGCCGCCGAAAGCTCCACCTAGGCGTTTGACTTTAACATTCACCCTAAAATAAAAAAAAGTTGCAATATCATGAGCACAGCAAAAGAAAATAATTCCTTAGAAAAAGCATCCCTTGAAGAGCATTCTAAAACAAAAAATAACGAGAATATACATGGAATAAACAACTATTATAGGACCGTATCTAAAGTGCTGTTTTATTTTATCTTGCACGTGATCTGAACAACACGTTACCTTATGTATCAATTACCTGAATGCAAATCATTCGTGAAAGTATGCGAATTACAGGTCAACCATTATATCTGTACGGCTGAGTTTCTTCGGAATTCCTAGATCTAAAGATGCGCTGTATACTGTATTCCTCATTTAGCAACAAAGCGAGGTGATTGATATTTTCCAGACTTTGTTTCATCATCATCAACTAGCATCTAACGTCCACTACTGAACATAGGCCTCTCGCATGCTTTTCCACTTAGTCCGATTTTGCGCCATCTGAATCCAATTTGTAGTCACTCTTTTTATGCCATCTGTCCATCTCGTTGGGGGTCGACCTCTATTTATGTTAGCTTGTATTCTGGTCTCCATTCCAAAATTCTTATTGTCCACCGGTCATCAACTGATCTTGCTCCATGACCTGCCCAGTTCCACTTTAGTGTTGTTATCCTTTCAATAACGTCTGCTATACCTGATCTTTTGCGTATGGTAGCATTGGCTATTCTATCACGTAGAGAAATCCCTAACATTATTCTCTCCATTGCCCTTTCCGCAACTTGAAGTTTACTCACTGTTGTTTTTGTGAGTGTTACGGTTTCTGCACCGTAAGTCATCACTGGCAAAATACACTGATTAAATACTTTTCTTTTCAGACACATTGGAATCTTAGGCCTAAAAATATCCTCCATCTTTCCAAATGCACTTTGTTTATAAACTTTTAAATAAGAAACTGAAACAAAATGTGGAAAGGTATTGTAAATATGGATCAATTTATGCAGAGTGAAGCAGAGTTATTAAAAAAATAGCCTAACGAATAAGAATAGTTGAAGATAGCGAACAAGCAGATATTTCTCCTAAAATACAGTTGTATAATTTTAATATTGTAAAACCATTGAATTTCGTTGATTAAAAACGAGAATCAACATATAATTCTTCTGATAGATGAGTCTGAAAATTTGGAAAGCAAGGTCCAGGCTGAAAAAGTGCATCCTGGTTAAAGAACCCCAGAACTTGCTTCAACACAACATTCGTGTGGCTTTTCCACGCTGCTGTAGACAAAAGATTACCATCGTGATCATCAATATTCGTCACAGACAAGTATATCAAGAGAAGAACAGAAGTTCGTCATTTAACAAGAGGAAGTATTTTTTGACAAGTAGAAAAATCGGAAACAGAAGTATATAGTTTTTATAGATAAAACACATATTCCAATATTTCCAAACTCATATAAAATCTTGGAGTGTTCTTTCTAATTAAGGACTTTTACAAACTGCCTCCTAACAACAAAGGCTTAAAATTCTTAAATATATGTTTAAAAGTTTTAGTAGACTTACTTATTTGTAGGCAAATTCAAAACAACTGCAGCTCCGATCTGGTTGCCATCGATCCATTGTGAAGTAGGGAAAATGTCGATGCCATCTTCAGTTGGTACGACTTTACAACAGTGAACTTCCATATGGAAATGGTATTGTGGCCCTAGGTAAATGTCTCCTTTAACAACTTTCTTCACATCGTCTCCTAAAACATTGTTCATAACAGTAACTTACGTTCATAAAACTGTGCTTTGTGGTGGATTTCGAGTTTAAATCAAGTTCACAAGAAAACTCTAATGGAATTATTGAACAATTTTACCATAAACAAAAATATTACAAGAATTATAAAATATCGCAATGACAACAAAAAGACAATTTAGTAATGGAAGATGCTTGAAATGCATGATAAAATAAATGAAATAAATATACTTAACTGTACTCAGAGAGACAATTATGTAATGTAACATGTAAATAGTAATGTAGAAATGTAAAGAGAAAAGGGAGGCCTACACGAAGTATAAAACATCAAATACCCAGAATCCCAAGACAACTATAGAAGAATACGAAATGAAACAAAGCAGTTGGTAATAAGAACAAAAAATTAACACTGGGAACAGTTTACAAAAATGATGGAAAACGACGAAAATGATAATAAACCAACGGAAAACAAGGCAGGATTGAAGTAATACAATAACATACCAGCAAACGAATGGGAAAGATACCTGACGGAACTGTTTAAAGGAAAGGAAAATAATAATCAACACAATAACGTACCTGAATTAAGACACGAAATAGAAATCAGTTTTTAGGAAGTTTCTTTCTTTGATCCTGACCCCCCAGGGGGAGTGTAGTGGTCGACGTGATGTCGTGTATTAAAATTGAATTATTTGTTCTACGGTCGGTCTAAGGAATTCGTAACATTCGTCTTCAACAGAATATTTCAGTGGCGTCTATCTTTCTTCTTTCCGATTGTCTCAGAGTCCAATATTCACATCCGTAGGTCAGTATTGGGAATATTAAGCAGTTGATCAACCTCATCTTTAGCGCTCTTGAAATTTGACAGTCCTTCCATATTTTGGTCATTTTTGCCGTGGCAACTTTTGCTAGATCACATCTACGTTTAATCTCTTCTTGTAATGACCCTGTGTTTGTGATTAATGATCCCAAATATAAGTATGAGCTCACAGCCTCGAACCGGTCAATTGTGGTTATGTGTGGATGATTGTAGTCTATCCACTATCATGATCTTTGTCTTTGATATGTTTAATTGCAGACCAAATATTTGACTTTCGTTTTCGATCAGTCGTATAAGTTCCATCAGCTCTGCTTGACTATTTGCAAGAAGGACTGTGTCATCTGCGAAACGTAGGTTGTTTAGTTTATGACCATTTATTAAGATGCCCTTTTCTCATCCTTCAAGTGCTCATCGCATAATATACTCCCCATATATGTTGAATAATTGTGGAGATAGTATACATCCTTGTCTGACACCCCGTTCTGGATGAAACTCGTTCAAAAGTGTGTCAAGTCTTTAACTGATCCAGTAGTGTGTTCATATAGTTCAGTTATAAGCGTAATTAGATGTTGTGGTACGCCTACTTCTTTTAGTATTCGCCATAAGTGTCTCCACTTGACCCTGTCGAACACTTTACAGTAATCTATAAAACAGATGTATAGTGGGATGTTGAATTCCCTAGATTTCTCGATTATCTGTCTTATATTCAGCAGGTGTTCTTGAGTGCCTCTACCTTTGGTAAATCCAGTTTGCTCTTGTGGAATTTCTCTTTGAAGGAATGTTTTCAGTCTCTCATTGATTATATGTAGGATTATCTTGCTGGCATGGGATATAAGAGAGATAGTTCTATAATTGTCGCATTTATGGAAGCTGCCTTTTTTATGTATGGTCGTTATTGTAGATTTTGTCCAGTCTTCAGGCCATTGTTTGGAATGCCATATTTGGTTACAGAGTAGATGAAGTAACTTTACCCCGGGGTCTTCTGTGGCTTTAAGCATTTCTGCTGTTATCATATCTGGACCTGGTGCTTTGTTATATTTGAGCTTGTTGATAGCCTGTCTTACTTCATTTTCGAGTATATCAGGTTCTTCTTCCACCTCGTCAGAGATTTGGCTAACAAGCTCTTGGCGTTGATCATCTTTATATAGATCCCTGCAATACGATCTTCATATCTCTGCTATTTCTTCTCTGTTTGTTCTCAGGGTTCCAGTGTTATCTTCAATGGCCCAAGTTCTGGCTCTGAAGTCTCTTGTCAGGTAGCGTATTTTTCTAAATAGATCTCTCGACTGATTATTCTGACCATGTCTCTCAATTTCTTTGCATATACTTTAATAGTACTGTTTTTTGTCGGCCTTACACCTTCATTTTATTTCTTTATTGAGGTTTCTTAAACTAGCTTTTTCCCTTTTACTATGTACACCACTTTTACAAAGATCTCTTCTATTTTTAATTATTTTAAGAGTTTCATCTGTTATCCAGTTTTTCCGTTTCACCGGATTATTTTTCTTTGAGCGATCCACTGGTGTTGTTACGCAATGTTTAACAGTCTCCCATATTTCTTGTGATGTTCCGTTACGAATAGACGCCATACTTTTCTGTACTTCCTGTAGAAGGTAGTCTTTGTTTCTTAGTTCTATCCTCTTTATCTCTCTTTGTTTGTTGGGTGCTTTAAGTTTAAGCATTACTTAAGCTACGAGGAGAGTATGATCGGATCCGCATATCGCCCCTGGATATGATCTGACTGTTAGAATGGACGATCTTCAGCGAATATTGGTGAGGACGTAATCTATTTGATTTCTAAATCTATCTCCAGGACTTTTCCAAGTATAAAGTCGACGTACATGGTGTTTAAATCGAGTATTCATGATAGAGTAGTTGTTTGTGATAGCAAATTCGATTAAACGGTCTCCTCTTTCGTTTCTCTGCCATATGCCAAACTTTCCCAGTACACTCTTTAAGTCGTCATTTTGTGTTGTGTTGCCAACTTTTGCATTATAGTCGCCACATATAGTAAGTTCTTTATTTGGTATGTTAGCGATTGTAGTCTCCATTTTTTCGTAGAACTCCTCGATTTTTATGTCATCTGATGTGCTGGTTGGCGCGTAAACTTGTATGATATTAAATTATGTGGTTTTTAGGAAGTAGAGATAGCCATAAAACAAAACAGGACAAAACGGAAACAGGAGTGGAGCGAACACAGTAGAATGGCAGGGGATAGAATAGTACAAATAGCACGAGATAAGTCACCAAATGGACGAAGAAGTATTTGTAGACCAAGAAAAAGATGACCTTTTTACCAATTATTGGAGCTAAAATGGGTCATAAAACTTATAATTTCGTACCTTTTCTGAGTCGCTTCTGAGTATCTTGTAATTCAATTCTAGACTCAACATTATCGTTAACCACATCTCTGACGTCCAGATAGGGTTTACTGGTAGGAGCTTCATACGTTACACTGACCAAGGGGACAGCTGTAAAAGTAAGACCTGATGTTTCTGTAACAATTATTCCAATGGGTTGATTGTAGTATGTGACTTTGCCGCTACAGAATAACTCCTCTTCTACGGAAAACACGTTTACGTCTGTTGGCGTGAAGATGTTACTTCCTGGTATATCGTTAATATCATAAAACGCTACAACTCCAGGAAGAGCCTAAAAAGAGAATAAATGATCTGGTAACGATGATATTAAGGTATTTTAATATTTTCAGTTCTATGAATTTCGAATTTATAACAGAAAAATGATGTATAGTTCACATTTGTACTTTAAAACAACTCATGGCTAAAAATGGGCTCGTCTAATTAACATTTACAGACCTTAAGAAGAAGTACGCCTCAATACATACAACAAAACTATGTAAAATAATGGTAAATGGTAAAAAATGCTAAAAATAACGGTAAATAATGTGGTAGTTTTACAAAAACTGACAAAAGCATTAAAAGCACTAATAACAAAGTGGACAATATAATCAAATCCAATATATACAGTCTATTTAAGACGAAAAAAGGTCTACTGCAAGTTTGCTTTATTATATATCCCCTACTTTCTTTAAAATATTCCTCATGAAAAAAATTACTAATTTTATATTTTTAATAAATAAGTGTAGTCACAAGTCTCAATAATTGACAGAATAAATAAACAGATGTTATAAGAAGTCATAAGAAAGGGCAGAATCAATCAACAGCCACACAAACACATTCAGTAGATATTTTATTAAATATGAAGACGATGGAGCTTGATATAACTAAGAAATGGAGGAAGAACTGTACAAATCCTTAGTAAAGTAGAACCCCAATTATTCGTGAGCGGATTATCTAGGTTGCAGATTATCATCACTCAATCTTCGCTTATCCACTGCTGGACATAGATATCCCTCATAATTTTCCATCTATTTCGATATTATGCCTATTGCATCCAATTCCTAGGACAACGTTTTAGATCGTCAGTCCAATGTGTTCCAATGTGTTATTATCTGTCATTCGAACCACGTGACATGCCCAGTTCCATTTCAGTGTTGCTACTCTCTCTACTGCATCAGCCACTCCTGTTCTTCTGATTAAAGGTTTTTCTTTTAAGGCATATTGGTATATATTGGCCAATATGCCAATATGTAAATATGCAGATTATCAGTGACTCCATTTTCCAGTTTTCTGTCACTCTATATACCGTGGGAAAGACGCACAATGCAATATCGACAGTAACAATGCTCGGGGAATCCTTGGAAATCATACGATTGTCTTCTGCCACTGCGCAGTTGTGTAGTGTAGTTGCACGCTAGCGAAGAGACGCTACTCTGACATTCTTAAAACTTGTTTGCAAAATATGTATAACTAGTATTAAATCCAAAGAAATATTTTAACGATTGAAAGAAAATTAGGAATTTTAAACAGAAGTGAAAAGGATACAAGTGTCGCATTATTATCACAATTCTATGAAATTGGCAACCTCAGTCTGACTCTTCTAAAAAGATATCTACACGAAAATCATTAAAAAATCGACTATTCATCAACTCGATGAAGCACTTTCCAACCAAATGGTTTCAGAAAAGATCAAAGGACGTAACAATCCCTGGGCGAATATGTTTTAAGCAGATTTTCTTCAACATTTAAAAATCAAAGATCCTTTCAAATTAAGTCATCTGAAAATAAGAGTCAAGACGTAGGAAATGAGAGGACGGTATCAATCAAAGGAGTATCTGATCAGGAGGCTGAAAAAGCTGACAATATTTTATTCCGACCTCGTCCATATTTAGAACTTGCTCCGAACATATGAGAAGATTTTAAAAATCAAAGACTTTTAACAAAAGCCAAAGTGACTGAATTTTTTTCCTACTGAACACAGCTACCCAAAAATACTGATTTTTGTTATGTATCTTTTTTCGTAATTTAAAAGTTAGTTTGAACTAACGTAACTAACTGTAGTAAATGTATTATTTATTTTAATAAAGTAAAACAACTTACTAGAGCTTTGGATGCATCTATTTTAACAATTGTCGACCCAGGGGGCGCTTGTGCTGTGACAAATGAACAGAAAACTTCATTTGGTCTAAGTGGTTTGTCCATGATGTATTCTGCTTCACCTAAAATGTTAATAAAGTGGTAAAGTAAATATGGGAATCTACACAGGTGTCATAATTGTCCAAAAGCGAACTATTTCTTTTTTAAATACCTCTTATTCCAACCTTTACCAAACCTTTAGTTTTTATTTCTCTTATTAAGTTTATCATTTTTGTAGTTTTAACAGGTTCTTCAATACGGACATCCTACTAACACTTCCATTGCCCTTGTGGTAGACTACAAATTTCAACGAAAGTAGATAAAAAGGACTGGTGTATTGATAGTCACAAGAGTAAGAGAGTATGACATGAGGTAACCTTTTTGCATTTTAAGAGTACATACTTATAAATAAATATAGTTAAGCTCAGTGGGTACACTCCGTTTGACTGATAGTAAGGTAGGTGATCCTTAAACTGATTCCTTACAACATTTTAGCTAAAACTGACCATTTTCCGAATCGAAATCATACTCCATACTCTTTAGCGTGCTGAGCTAAACTATCCATCTCTTTCTTCTGTACGACTCATTAACAGCGTTTTGTCCCTAAAAAAAGAAATTATTTTTTACTTACCTGAACATTGTACTAGAGATTCCAGCTTTGGAATGGGTTGAGTTAAAGGCCATTCGTCTTGGATAGTACCATATTCTTGAGTTCCAGTTGAGATTGGTCGATCCAGTAAGGTTCCACCACTTTTATACTTCTCCCCTACAATGCCTTCCGGAGATATTTTCAAAATGAACTGGAAGAATTGATTTAAATCTTTAATTTTTTTTGTATTCAAAGTTTTTCTAGGGTACATACATAAGCGAGGTATAACGACTTATTTATATGTTTATGTAAAAAATATTTATATAAAAATATATACTAACCTTATAAAACAAAGATATTGCTAGATTTTTTCTAAATTCTGGAGAGGGATCAGGCGGAGTATAGTCACAGACAAGCTCTTTATTTAGCGAATCAAAAACTTGTTGTAAAGTCTCATTATTAAATAAACTTTTTCCTTTTAACAAAGCTTCTGTAGAACTTGCATGTATAAAGTCCTTGTTAATACATCCGTATACAATTGTAGCCGATTGGACAATATTTTCGCTATTCAGTTCCACCAAAAATGCAGCGTTTACCAAAGCATGGGCGTTTTGTGCCCTTCTCATAATCTAAAAGAAAAAATTGATATTCTAATATTATAGTTTGAAAAATTTTAATGTAAAAGAATCTTCTGTACGTGCTATCTCCGCGACAATGGTTGGCAATCATCACTGCTATTCTAAGTTTTGACACCACAGTCCGAAAGAATAAAAGAATTAACATAAGCAAAAACAAAATTATTTTAACAGTTTAAAAATTAACTTTAAAACCACCATCTTTTTTCTCAGCAACATTTTATTACGGCATATTTGGCACAATAGCCATATTTTGGTCCAAATAACCTGTCCTTAGTCTATGTCCCAATATTTATGACTCACCCTGTATATTCATGTATTGTGTTAATTCAAATAAAGTCAGTTGGTGACTGACGTGAAAATCCAGTTACATTCATAAAGTAAAGAAATATTTCTGTAAATTTCTTGACTTTACAAGATTTTGTTCGCAACTAATGAGCAAAAAATATGTAATTATTCAATGAATGCAATAAACAATAAAGCTGAAATGCAATAAACTGGATAAGGTCTCTTGTAACTTATGTGAATGTGAAAATGTGAATACAGCCAAAGTTATCGTGAGAATTTAGAGATATACTAAAAAATATAATATATAATTAAACAATAAATACTTTTCCCAACATATAATGTTGATATAGAACTTAAGAATTACCTTATAGGAACCAAATTTTAAGGTATCAGACACAGAATGCAATACTATGGATTTTATTACACGTTTTGTCATGTCCAGTTTCAAAAATTCTTGGGCAGTGGTAGATGTTTCCTTGCCATGAACATCAACTAAAAATATAAGAATTTTATTACATATTTTTAGCAATATTCTATTACATTAGGTGTTAAAAACTTATAAGACTGTAATTTGTTTTTTTAATAAAGTAGATAATAGAAGTGCAACCAAAAAATTATTTCAGCATCATATTAGGTACTATTTAAACAATGATATTAGTTTGTGTAATGTATTGGATCTTCAGTCAAGGAGTGATCAACCTTTGGCATTACCTTAATGGTACGTTTATGTCTTGTGTTGTATTTACATTTTTACGATGTAAGCATATTTTTTTACAATTTATGAAACTCCTGTTAACTCCTGACGAAAAGAAAAAAATGTAAAAGCGCTTTTTAGCGTTTGAATGTAAATGCCTTAGATATAAAAATATTTAAAAAATAAATTAGGTTTTATTGTAATAGTGGAGATTTTTTTATTTATTATAATACATACCTGTTATAATTGAAGCTTTGAAAGTTTCAAGTAAGATGAAAACATCTGACTGAAAGTCGTTGTATTTATACTTTATCATTAAGTTTCCTGCAATGCTTCCAACCTAAAAATTGCAAAAAAAAACTAATATGCAAAAGTAAAAAGTTTTCTATAGCTAAAATATGTGTAGATGTAGTAGAAAACGGTTCCTATACGTTTATAAGTTACCACTCAACTGGTAAATGTGTCATAAAGACAATGCCATTCTCTGAATTTAAATTTGTAGATACATGTTTCTTATTTTATGTGTATAGCCTTTATACGACCCTATGACTACCCTAGAGAACATACTGTGTTACTCGCTAAAGTCAAAGATGCAATTAAATCGCTAAAGAGAAATAAATCCCCAGTCATTGATTTAATTCAGTAGGAAGACCACGAAAACGATGGAGGCACATTGAATAACAGACAAAAGAAGAAGAAGTTGTTGTTAGTTCTGAAACTGGTGTTATTATTGTAGGAAATATTTCTTATATTAAGTATTTAGCATACTTTTATTTGTTGGTTACGCCACTGCGAGATGCCACTAAAACCATATTCTTAAGGCGCTTCAGGCAGGTCGCCATCGCGGGGAAAGGGACAGGAAAAATGTAGACAAAATCACACATTCCTTACCTATGGTGTATTTTTATGTATGAGAGAGTAATAAAACAATAAATTAGGTATGCAAATCCCTAAACTGTTGATACGGGTGACTCAATGAAAAACAGATATTTGTCAACAAGTTTACAGAAGTATATAGGAAAACAATTTTAAATTGAGTATGACCACCAGGTATAAAGGTTGGAGCAGAATAGAATACAATAGTTGTGAGGGTTACTAATCCCTAAATAAGGTTGCCAGTGTCGGAGTGATGGAGGTTAACAGGTACTAATGAATTTGCAAGAAATGTAAGATGTTTATTTTATTGGTTATATATAACCAATAAAAGTTTAATAAGTACCTACCTATTTGCAAAATAAAGTTTAATTCTTTAGATAAAATAAAACGTTTTATTTTATCTGAAATGAGTGCATTCCACGAAGTAAGGGTTTCAACAATCAAACATTTAATTCTTTAATTCCAGGAATCTACGACAGTAATTGACTAGATAATTACCTTCTAAACTTATTCCACAGAAAATGTGATAGTGGGTTTTTCCATTTTGTAGGAAGGTCCAAGTGGCGTATTCAAAATTCTTAACAGTTCACTAAAAGTAGGTACTTCAGTTGCAAGGTGCAGTTTATTGTGTATACTAGTGTTATGGAAAATTTGGAAGTGCCGTGTAAACGCCGAAAAATTGGTCCTTTAACAGTTAATGAAAAAACATTAATATTTAATTGTTTTAAATCATTTACAGACAAACGTTTATGTGAAAGTGTTGATGAGACCGTTGAGTTAGTTAGCAGTACACTTGGTGTTGGGAAATCTACGATTTACAGAGTTATTAAAGAAGAGAAATGTGGTAGTTTTCAAATGCCACGTAATGCTCCAGGGAAACCAAAATTTCAAATAGAATATCATTTTAAAGAAGGACTTCGACGGAAAGTGCATGAATTCTTCTTTAGACAAGAATTTCCAACATTGGATAAAGTTTTGTCTCAGTTCGAGATGATAAGGATTACCCAGAAATGAGTCGAAGTACGTTATGGAAACTTTTAAAAGAAATAGGCTTCCGCTGGAAAAAGAATCCCAGAAAGTCTATTTTATTAGAAAGAAGCGATATTGTCATATGGAGAAGAGATTTTCTAAGAACCATAAAGGAAATGAGAAACCAAAAAAGAAAAATATTTTATCTTGATGAAACATGGATCAACGAGGGTCATACACCAAATAAATTTTGGCAGGATGAAACTGTTACAAGTCAAAGGCACGCTTTTGTAAATAACTTTTTGTAATAGTACACATTGGCAGTTCAGACGGTTTTGTTGAAGGTAGTTTATTAACTTTGAATCAACTCGTACCGGTGACTACCATCAAGACATAAACGCTGATGTCTTTCTAGAATGGTTCGAACAAATGATAGATCTTCTTCCTAAGAACTGTGTAATAGTAATGGATAATGCAAGTTATCACTCCAGACTTATAGAAGGACTGCCCACAACCAAGTGGTTAAAAAAAGACTTGCAGAATTGGCTGAGTTCAAAAAATATTACGTACCATCATGGATCTATGAGAAAGGAACTTTATTCGTTGTGTGCCCTTCATAAAGAAAAATTTAAAAAATACGAAATTGATGAAATTGCCAAAAATCGTAGAATGACAGTACTTAGATCCCCACCATATCATTGTGAATTAAACCCGATTGAACTGGTATGGGCACAGATAAAGAGTGAAGTTTCAAGAAAAAATACCACTTTTAAAATTCATGATGTTAAACAGTTGTTTTTGGAGGCCGTAAATAATGTAAAACCTGAAAACTGGGAAAAGGGAGTAAATCACACTATTAAAGAAGAAAAAAAATGTGGAAGCTGGACAATATTACTGATAAAATGATCGAGCCAGTTATTATAAATCTTGGTTCTGAAAGTTCATCTTCTGAATCTGATTTGGATTTGTAACAAGTAGCTGTAAGTTTTATATTAATATTTTTATTCATCTATTTAACATACCTTAGACGGTTTTAAAAACTCTTTTTCTCTTTTGTAATTTTTAAAAATTTAAAAAAATGTGAATTTTGTTTACATACACATAACACTTTATAACACTGAAATAATTCATTTATTTTTTACAATTATTCAAAGTAATTTTTCAATTAATCTTGAGCACGCCCATGGAGTGGTCGGAAGGTACCAGTTAAAATTATGCTAATTACTCTCTCGTTCATAAAAATAAACTATAAAAGGGATTTGGTATTAGGCACTCGCGCTATGAAGGTTAATTATTGTGCAACGTCCGCCAGAGAAAAAGACGAAAACAATTAACGACGGAGTTGTCCGATATTTTAATTTTCAAACAACTATCCGTAAGTTTGTAATTTTGTATACCTGTAAAGACCATCCTTACAGTTTATTTTTATGTAATAAGGACGTCTCGTATGGATCGCGGACTTTTATTCTAACGTTAGTTCCCCTTCAAATAATAAAAGAACTTTATTAAGACCTATATTATTGTCTACAGTATCGCTTACTATATTTTTTAACCAAACTTTGTGTTAAAACTTACATTTCTTATTTGTACGGTCGCTACCAAAGCAAGATGTTTTTCAATGGTGTTCAAAAATGAATAGTTCGTCTTTTGTGAATTTTCGTGGCATATGTGCATCCACTGTGTCAGATTTACATTTCCACCGAGAGTTAGAGATTTATCTGTGATGCAGTACCCGCTAATCTCAGGCACGTTCTGAATATCTATATAGAAATCTGCGTTGCCAATACTGCGGAATATACCTGAAACATTTGACCGAGTTTTGACACATCAAATACTAATAGAATCTTTGAAAATTCTAATGTGATAAATTTATATTAAAATATTAATTAATTTATAAAGAAATATACCATTTAAGACCTTACCTTTAGCCGTATTTCCAGATACCAACATGTAATTGGTGGTTGTTATACTTTTTAACGTAGATAACAAATCTTGCAAAGAATTAACTTGGACCCACTTCGAATCACCAAGTTCAAGAACTTTAGTTTGCTTACTTTTACAACCATTGGCGCACGTTTTTCCTGTGCTAGGACAAATTTTTAAGTCTTCTATGTCAGCAATAGGTTCTTTGTCTAAAAATATTGCATATTATTGTTCAAAAATAATCACACTGCAACAAATATAGAATAGAGTAGAAATATACTTATTGTCACTGAAAATTATACAATTTAAGGACACAGCTTACAAAAAGTCATAAAATAACAATAACAATTAAAATTTACTCAATAATATGATCTTCCAGATAGTTAGGCTTTTGTCATTTTACGGAACTTAGGTAAATATTTGCAGATTTAAGTTGTTGTATAACAACAGGACAGAATTTTCGAAAACGACTCGAGTTACGAAACATGAGCTATATATTTGGAAACTGAAAGGCGAGGACACTAAATAAACTAGGAGCTCAAACTGTACTTCTGCAAGAACTAAAAAGATATAAACTCATGATTACTGCTCTTCAGGATACAAGATGGTTGGGGAAAGGTATCAAGGACACTAATACGCTCACAATTCTATATAATGGAAAGGAACATGAAAGCAAAAATGTGAAGTTGCATTTGTGGTGGATAATGATTTAAAGTCAAAAATCATAGACTGCTAGGCAGTTAGTGAAAGAATATGCAAGTTAAGAATTTGCACCCACTTCTTCAACCTAAAATGATAAACATTCACTGCCCAACAAAAGAACAATAACAACATACAAAGGAAAGCTTCTAACAACAGCTAGAGATAGTGTATGACAATGCGCCCAAAAATGACATTAAGATTATAATGGGTGATATGAATGCTAAAATAAGCAAAAAGCCGAAGTTCGATGGTACAACAGGAAAACTGCCACTGCACAATGAAAAAAGAAAGAATGGGGAATTTTTGATAATTTTTGCCACCAGTAAAAACATGGTTGCAAGTTCCACATGCTTCCCACATAAAGAAATACGCACATTGACATGGATTTAACAACAATGAACAAACAAACTGAACCTGTAAAAACTGAAGATTCAGGAATGTAAAGAGAAGTTCAAAGAAAAAGTCGCAAATGAGTTAAGGATGCTATGGGATGCATCCGACATAATATCAAAACAGCAGTACTGCCAGCAACAGCGTCCACCTTAAAACGCAATTGAGAAAAGAAATGAAGCACACAAAATGGATATAACAAGAAGAACACGGGAAAGACAAACATCATTTGCAGTCATAAGATGTATGAAAATGAAACAAAATTTCAAAAAAAAAAACGAAATTATACTGGCATACGAATACCTAAAAAAGATAAAAAGTGGTTATAAACCTCAAACAACTCTATGTAAAGATGAAAAAGCATTATTTTTACTTGTTATACAAATAGAAATGGAAGATGAAATAGAGGGTACAAACCTCTAGGTATGAAGGGTACGAACTGTGTAGAAGAGAATAAAGAAGAGAATGGATTTAGAAGCTCCAACCATGGAGAAAGTTCTTGAAGCTATTAAGGCCCAGAAAAACAATAACGCCTTGGCAGTTGACGAAATTGCAAATTTAAGTTATAGTTTATTCGTCTTCCGGGTTTGGACCGTGTCATTTGTGAGTGACCCAAAAGTGGGTTCATCTTTTTGAAAAGAGATGAACCCACTTTTGGGTCACTCACAAATGACACGGTCCAAACCCGGAAGACGAATAAACTATAATTCTGACTCTGGATGTGGAAGCCTACGATTTCATCAGATTTAAGTTGTTGTTTAATTCTTTTGCCAAATATAATATAGATTTTTTTACTAATTCAGTGAACGGGATCGGTAAATAAACATCAAAGGTTGAATTTCTGATGGAGTAGTCATTACTAGATCTTGCTGGAAAAACAATTTATGTGATATATAAAAAGGAAGCGTTAAAATTCGGTGATACTGTATAGGCCAAGCAGATACTGTATTCCTCTTTTTTGTAATTTGAAAATAACATTAGTTGGGCAGCTGTACCAGAATCCCAAAAAGGAAAACCATATTTTTTTAAGATGAGACTCAAACAAAGAAAAATGTTATTTTGGAAGATGCTAAATTGATTTCCTTCGAAACAAATCTTATTGCATAGAAGGTTGAGGCTAGTTTCTTACTTATCAAATCGTCAATATAAAGGGACCATTATTTAAGATTGCTGTCTGAAAAATACCAAGAAATTTTTACAGAAACAACGATACTGATCTAGCCGTTCTTAAGAAGCAAAAGTTGAAGAGCTCCATTATAGGATAAAGCTTTTTTCTTACCCACATTAAAAAAGAGTAAATTAAAGGCAAATTAGGTTTTTATTTTAAGTAGATCACAAGTTATAGTTGCATGAAGATTTGCAGTGTAAGAGTTTCTCCAGGTGATACTAGTATTATCAACAAAAATAAATCTTTATTGATTTTTAATTACTGGTGTCATTTATGAAGTTAAGGAAAAGTAGAGGATCCAATACTGAACCTTGTGGTACTCCACATACAATGCTTTTGTGACTAGAGTCAGTATCATTTGCTCTAACTAGTTAATTCCTATCTCTCAAGTATAATTGGAACCAATTCAAAGAAATACCTCGAATTTCGTAGAAATTCAGTTTTTTTATCAAAATGTCGTGATTTCTCATTTTTTGAGAGATTTAAGAAAATTTGAATAGTACTATAGAAAGATTTGTTTTTGCTACCATTAATTGTTTGTATTAGTTCAGATTTATCAACTGGTGTTATAAAGAATAAAATCGAGACCTTTTTTGAATGGGGGAGATAGGAAATAAGATAGGATCTTATTGTGGCAAAATACTTAATGTTATATTTTTACTCCTGCTGTTATATTATTACCAAAGTATTCATTTAGATCTTTAGGATCGTCTATTATGGACCAAGTTTCTCTTGCAACATTTTTAGAGCTTTCTAGACGATTCTGATAGTACATTTTGTTAGCTGTTCTAATAATATTTAGATAGGTTCCTTCTTTCTTGGAGATATATTCAGTGACAAAGACGTTGGTAGCAAATTTCTTGATGTTGAGTAGTGAACGCATATTCTTAACTGCACATAATGGTCCTTCGAGCCGGATTTTCTTCTTCTTTTTCTGTTTGTTTGTGGGTTTAGGGTTTTCTGCTAGTAGATACCTTTTTTCCATGTGTTTTTTTATATCTAGTTGCAGTTTCCTTATAGTTGGAGCCTTGTCGGTTATTATAAGTAGTTAATTTGTCTTGCTTACGGGTTCCTTATGGTAGGAGCCTACTTGGTTGTGATAATTATTTACTTAGGTATTTATTTTATGTGTAAAGATACCCATGCTGATCTGCGGATACTTTTGGCAGTCCAGGGTTTGTGATGTTTTGACGTAATTGTAATTAAAGGAAATGCCTTGTTGAAAATACAGACAAGCTTATCTAAAAAATCACTGAAATTATAGTCCACGTCCACAGAAGGAAAGTGCCACCCAGAAGTCAAGCACACATTTTAGAATTTACAAAAGTTCTGAGCAGAAAAAATCCTACCTAAACGTTGGATTTTCGAGGATTGTTTGTTAAGAGTGTTGGTATATACTGCTGCATGATCACATAGTCCTGCATTAATAATTGTAAAGCGTACATGAAGGGGTGAGAAATCTGAGACAATATGATAGATATTTTAGTAATTCTTGTAGGAGAATTAACGTGCATTGTGAAACCATACGATTCGAATATACAGACTAAGGATAATTGGGTAGCACAAGCAACAGCATAATTAATATTCAAGTCACCGCATATAATCTTGCTGCTTTTATTGGACAGGTCGTCTAACAAATTTAACAGATTCTAAAAAAATAGCTCTGTGAAAGAATCAGGTGATCTGTAAATGCAAAGAATGTATGGATTAAGATTCTTATTCATTTGTAAATATTCATTCAATAGAAAATCATATTTTGTTACAGGAGTCAGATTTTTTTAAGTAAAAGCTTTGATAAAAACTGAGCCTATTAGCATTAGCATAAAGGCTGCTTTAAAAGTATTTATTTATATTTTCAGTGTTCGGAAGGGAAAATGTTTCAGCTGTGTTAGTAAAAATAAATGTGGTAGCAAAATATTGTAGTTTTTTGTAACTGTGTGTAAATATACATTACCAATTAGTTCCTTAAAAGCTTTTAATATAGGTCTATATCCTGTACACCTGCATATATTCCCTCCAAAAGAATCTTCGATTTCTCTTTCAGTTTTGACACCAGACTCATGAAGGGCATACATATTCATTATCATTCCGGGTGTGCAAAAACCGCATTGCGTACCATAATTTTCTGCAAGTGTTTTCTGAATTTTGTGGTATCCTTTTATAGGATTACCAATTCCCTCAACAGTGTGAATTTTCTTGCCGTCACATGATAAGAGTGGCATCAGACACTAAAATGTTAAACACAATATCACATGTTAAAAGCTAATAAATATTTTTTTTTATAATTATTTTAGAAACTTATCAACAAATCAAAAGAATATATAAATAAAATAATATTCATGAAAATCAAAGTTATGAAAAACATAATTTTGACAGAAACAATTTAAAAAGCACAGGAAAAAGATTTGATCAAATAGAAACAAAGCCAATGCACTTACAGACATAACCGAATAGACATTAGATTTGCCATCCACTGTTTCTTCCACAGCCACCGTGCAGGTTCCGCAGCCTCCTTCAAAGCACATTCTCTTGGTGCCTTTAAGGTGCAATTCATCTCTAAGGTAGGAGTTCAGAGAGTCTCCTGGTTTTACATCATTAGTGTTTACTGAAAAGAATATATGGTGTTATTAATAAAACTCGGATTATAAGCAAAATGCATTTTTTTGTATTTTCTGCCTATGCTAGCTGTTTTTTCATATTTTAACTTTGCTATTAATATTATTAATACTCCCATTTCTAAACTATAAAAAAAATTTTGGTCAATAATAAAATATCAATGGTTTATTTATAATTGCTTTCTAGAAAAATTTTTTGAAACTTTAGGCTTAACTATTGCAAAGTTATACAGGGTGAGTCATAACTATTGGGACATAGACTAAGGACAGGTTATCCGGACCAAAATATGGCCATTGGGCTAAATATACCTTAATAAAATGTTGCTGAGAAAAAAGATACAGGGTCTTAAAGTGGAAATTTAAAATTTTCTTTTTGGCTCTAACTTTCATGTTTGTAAACATTTATGTATAAAAATTTACAGCTGGGTACTATTGAATATCGGAAATTATAATTTGATGCATACTTTAATATATCTAATAGAGGGCGCCACATATGCCACATACGTGGCATACATTTACACTTAACTTTTTTGTTCTTCAAATTACCGGTGATAAAAAATAAAAGATACATTATTTTAACAAAAAAAAGGTATACTTGTTAATAACTTCAAAACTCAATAGTTTTCGAGATAATCGCATTTTACAAATCAACTGCATAATTCTGATTTAACACAATTACTCCAGGCAATGAAAGAAAAATAGATAAAAACATTAATACTTCTGAATTTTGTTATAAAATACCTTTAACAAAGTCAATAGTTAACGACATATTAAATAAAATAAATATACCAGCAGGATAATTAATAATAGGATTTGATAAAATAACATAATAATTGGATTTTACATCAAACATTTTACGTTTCGTATTAAATTAAAGTCATAATCAAAACATTTTATTTAAAAAACCAAATTTAAAAATAGGTAAACTAAATAACATTAAAATAAAATGATTTTATTGATTTATTGGAAGAATTGTCATCAAACTTAAGGCGAAATATGAGGTTTGTACAAGATGGTACACCATTACATTACAGAGAAAGCGGAGTGAGACAGTATTTAAATACACTTTCCTGAACGTTGGATTGTTCGTGGTAGTCATATTCTTGTGGTGAGATAATAATAATTATTTAATTCATAAAAATTTCAAAAAATTACTAATTATTATACTTAAAACAACTATAATAAATACTGCAGCAGTTTCTTTAGAACCAATGATGCTATTTAATATGAGACGATATTTTATAGAATGTATTGACAAATGAATTAAAGAAAATGGTGGACATATCGAACACTGACTTTGATAAAAAGTTTAATGTTATTTAGTTTAACTATTTTTTAATTTGGTTTGTAAATAAAATGATTCGATTATGACTTTAATTTAATACAAAACGTAAAATGTTTGATGTAAAATCCAATTATTCTGTTATTTTATCAAATCCTATTATTATTTATCCTGCTGATATATTTATTTATATTTAATAGTTTTCAGTTAACTATTGACTTTATTAAAGGTATTTTATAACAAAATTCAGAAGTATTGATGTTTTTATCTATTTTTCTTTCATTGCCTGGAGTAATTGCATTAAATCAGAATTAAGTAGTTGATTTGTAAAATGCGATTATCTCGAAAACTGTTGAGTTTTGAAGTTATTAACACGTATACCTTTTTTTTTGTTTAAATAATGTATCTTTAATAGTTTTTATCAAGAATACCAATAACTTGAAGAACAAAAAAGTTAAGTGTAAAAGTATGCCACGTATGTGGCATATGTGGCGCCCTCTATTAGATATATTAAAGTATGCATCAAATTATAATTTCTGATATTCAATAGTAGCCAGCTGTAAATTTTTATACATAAATGTTTACAAACATGAAAGTTATAGCCAAAAATAAAATTTTAAATTTCCACTTTAACACCCTGTATCTTTTTTCTCAACAACATTTTATTAAGGCATATTTGGCCCAATAGCCATATTTTGGTCCAACTAACCTGTCCTTAGTCTATGTCCCAATAGTTATGACTCACCCTGTATAGAAGACTTTTGGAGAATGGTAGAAGGGCAATACGTCCACAGAAAAAACAGCTTCTAACTGAACGAATGAAGAAACAAAGGCTATTGTGGACTAAAAATACTCTAATTAGACTGTAGAAGACTGGAGAAAAGTCGCAATGAAAACCTTACATCACCTCATATTGATCAAACCGTAAAACATCCAGCAAAAAAAATGTTTTGGGGATATTTTTATACTTAGGGTTTGGATCTTTGGTACTAATTGAAAGCATGATGAACAACCAACGATACAAATCCATGTTGAAACAATGTTTGGACACAGAAGTCCAAAAATGTTAGCCCCAAGAAAGAGCGATTCTTCAACAGGACTTTGTTCCGTGTCACAAATGAAATCAAATGATGTTATTTTTGAAAAATAAGATTAATGTTTTAGATTGACACAGTAATTCTCAGACCTCAACTCCATTGAAAATTGATGGGCCATTTGCAAAGCTAGACTGCGCAAAATCGACTGTACTCCAAAATTAAAAATGATAAGAGCGGTCATTCAGGTTTGGTTTCTAGAGGAGAGGATATCTGGGAGCTTTCTAAATAAACTGTTTTTTTCATTAAAAACAGTCTATCATTCCATTAATTCGCACAGTACTGTATAACGATTAACCTGTTTAGCGATCAGAAATCATTTTTAGATTACAGCATCAACATGACATTTCGTAGAAACCATATAAACGGATTTGTTTTACTTCTATTTTATTAATAGAATCTTACTTTATTTATTGTTCACAAATCCTTATAATAATTTAAGCTCCTATTGTAATTTTTAATACATGTATTACTATTAATGAATTAAAGGTTAATGCTTTTTATTAAAGTGTCATTTATCAATAGATATTAAAATTACCGATAGAATGTTCGGCCATTGTTTGACAAAATGTTCTAATAAATGTGCAAATAAATAAATTAGAATGACTTGGACATAAATATCAATGACAAAGTGATATTTAAGATATTTAAGATTAAATTCCTCCCATTTTTAAACGCAGACAAACAAGAAGGTTCTGAGAAGGATGAATAAAGGAGTAGAAATTTTAAATATAATTAATACAAGAAAATTGGAACTTCTCAGACATATTACACGTATAGAGAAATATACCTTGCTCCAACTGATTATGTAGGGAAAGATCCAAGGAAAGGGAACCATATGGAGGCGTAGAATGTGATGGCTGCGCAACCTAAGAGATTGGTACGGACTTACATCAAATAAACTTTTTAGAGCAGCCGTTTCAAAATTCCGAAAAGGTATAATGATTGCCGACCTTCACCACAGAAATGGCACTTAAAGAAAAAGAAGTGAGCTATGGCGTTAGCAATAAAATGTTTTAAACATGTTAATCTCCTTAATACGACGATTTTAATACGAAAAAATAAATAAATAAACCATTGAGCTTCTCTGTCGTATGTCAGACTTGAGCAGCTTTAGAAAGTTCAGAAGAACCATGATTTCAAATCGTTCGACTTCCGATATGATAAGAAAAAAACTTAATCAGTGTGTATTACCGCTGTTAACTTACTGAGCAGTAACAATGACCATGATAAGGAGAACATGATGAAGAATCTTATATTGGCGAGACAAGATTTCAAACCACCAGCTACGACGAAGATCAGGAGTAACTGATGCTAGGGAGGAAATAGCAACACTGAAATGGAACTGGGCTCGACTGACAGATAACAGATGGACAGATCGTCCACGATCACTATGGACTGACGGCCTAAATCATTGTCATCCAGAAAAACTAGATGCAAGAGACACAAAATCGAAATAGATGGAAATTATGAGGGATATTTGTGTCTAGCAGTAGACAAGAAGAGATTTAATGATGTTTAAATCATTTATATGTTTCTAGTGCTAATTTGTTAAATAGATAATATTATATCGTAACAAGTAGACAAGTAGACAAGTATCCAAAAATCAGTATCATCAAAAGTACAATCAAAAAAAATAATAAATCAAAATAAAAAACGAAACTTACGAGTATGTTCTTCTCCATTAACATTCAAAGTTATAGTTTTCAAGAGCACCATTTTTAATACCAAACTTTAACAAAACGGTACTTGAATACAAGCCGATAGCCGAAATATCCCCAACTTATAAAGAATTTGCAGTGCAAAAGATAAAGTCGTGTAGAATTAATATCGGCAGATAAAACTTTGTAAAAAATTTGATAAATAATTAATGTTAATACTATTGTATATAATTTATAGATGATTTGTTACTCTCACAACTTATCAAAAACCGAATCGTATAAAGCCGATAGTTTCACTAAAAGTCTATGTTTAACATAGGTTCATAATAAGAGAATAAAAAGGAAAGTCAATGACGTTCTGCTGATTTTCAAGACGTTTGAACTGGTCGCATTATCCAAATCGGGCTTTAATGACACCTTTGGGTTAGATAAGTCAAATAAGTATAAAGAGATGTTACAATCACAAAGACATTTGGTTTTATTTTATTAGTAAAAACAATAAATAATTTTAATTATTGCCGTATGAAAACATCGTTATGAATGACGAAATTATTTGAAGGTCTCTCACTCAAAACTGAAAAAAAAATATGATTTTTGTATGGTACAGAAAACTGCCCTAATTAAACTAAATTCATATCAAAGTTAAGGATTGCTTTGATGTGCAGTTCCAAGAGCTGAGGTCCTATGTATCACATATTAGAGTTCAATATATTGATTTTAATATCTGCACTAAGATATCTGACAAAATGATACTATTTTATCCAGGATGGGGATCCTTGGTGATCAGTGTTAAAAAGACTGCAACTACTCCAAATATTTCAAATACTCCAACTATACTTTAAAATGTTAATAATAAAAAGATAACATGAGAAAAGATTCCATGAAAAGTCGATGATATTTTTGGTATGGGTGATGCTGCGGATATTCTAAGATCGATTCCTATGGGTCAAGAAAAGTGTTAGCAGACCTTATTCACTCGCCTGGATAAACGTTACGGAGATGCCCATCTACAACAAGTCTACAAAGTATAAATAAGAAGTAGAATCCAATGAGCAAGTGAGGATTTACAAGAATTTGAAGCAAATGTTGCTCGTATAGCGCGGTTCGCTTATCCAGAGGTACCAGACAACATTTTAGAAGAAATTGCTGTAGATACCTTCGTCAATGGGTTGAGAGACAATGAACTACAAAAAGCTTTACGACTAGCAAGACCGAAGGTTTTAGACAATACTATACAGCTAGTTGAGCTTCACGAACCTCTGAAGAGAGCGCCGAACAAAACAATAAACGTCTGGAGGAAATCGTACGGAAAGTAGTTCGTAACACGATGCCAAAGAGACGTAAACCCAGAAGTTGAAATGGTGGCGACGTAGGTCACATTCGCCATAAATTGCAAGACAATAATAAAATAGTTAGAAAGCAAACACCGGGCTGGAAACAGTCATTCAAATGCTGATGCTTAATCAAGACGGCCATACAGTGCAAATTTTAACCACTGTCTTGAATTAGGAGACTTTGCCCCATGAGACGAACCATCGCCATTAATGATCAATGGCACATCAACAGTTACAAGACGCTCAAGCAGATAATCCATGTGTAAAAAGAGTATTGGATTGAATGCGTCAAAGTGAAAGACCTTCTTGCCAAGACATTATTGCATGTAGTTCAGAAGTCAAGTGTTACTAAAATTAATGGAATTGTCTACTGCTAAAAGATGATCTTCTGTATAGAACCTTTGAGAACGATGATGGTACAAAATCTAAGCATTAGTTGATTGTACCTAAAGGTTACGTGTCAAAAGTATTACGTCAGTTGCATGACGGTGCATCAGGTGGACAGTTTGGTATAACAAAGACTCTGCAAAATGTTCGAGAACTATAGAACTCTATTGCGTGAACTGTAAAGATGATGTAAGAATATGGTGCCGGAAACGTGAACTGTGTGCAACCAGTAATGGTCGAGTTGCTAAAAAGAGGGCACCCATGAAACAGTACAATGTTGATAGTCCTATGGAAAGAGTAGCAATCGACTTTGCTACTTCTGTAACGAAAATATTTTGCCTACCACAGGGGCATTAATATAAGGGGCAGAAAATTGGGGGAGAAACTATTGGGGGTGAAGATAGGGCAAGCAAAATAATCGCTACTGATGCGAACGGCACTCAGGGTTTCGTAGGAGAGCTGGGGTCGTGGATAAGTAAAAGATAGGGGCATTGGAATGGGGCAAAAAAATGAAATAAAGGGCTCTTGGGACAAACAAAATAAAAATAAACAAGAAACACCTCAAGGAATTTAATATAGGGCGCCACTTGAGGTGCCTAATTATGCCTATTACAACCACTAGTTGTAACTAAGGAAATAATTAGAAAACAAATCAAAACATAAAAAACATATCTTTTTCAAATAAACTCAAAAAAGGGTTAGCTCAAAAAAAAAATAAAATGTTAAGACAACAAAATTTAACATTTATTTATGTGTCACCACAAACAGTTACATGGAGAAATACAGATAAATACATTCAAAAACTTACATGTGTCATCCATTAACAATCTCCATTGCTACAAAACTTACACAATTGCATGGAGGTTAACCTTTTTAAACAAAAAAAAAACAAAACAAATGAACATCAAAAATACTAAAACGAGCTGTCATAAATTAACATTAAATTTCAAAAAAAAACTAAACACAAATTGACAGCTTTACTCAAAACCTAAAATTCACAATTTTAAATGTCAACGAAAGCAATTATTATTTTATAAAAAAATGTCTGTCTTTAGTTTAAAATTTGAACAAAATGTTACCTTAATTCACATGACACACTTAACTTTCTGAAACCATAACTGGAACCTGGAACTGAGGGCTCCACTCTCTCTGGATCACGAAAACCTCCATCTCCAAAACTGCCAAAAGCCTTGGATAAAAGCAGGAACAAAAGAAAAACAAAACGAGGATGTCCTCCAATCCTCAATCAAAACATTAATAATTGAAGCATTTACTGCCACAAAACCAATAACAAACTGCTACATATTCTTCATAACCAAAGACGAAAACAGGATACTATACAAATTCGACGTGAATTCGGACATAACGCTGAACCGCTGTTGAAAGCTGCTACAACGAGAGTGAAGAAATTCTCTATTAAAATTGAACGCATACATACAAACGCTGACATAACAAGACACCACGAAACGACGTACATATCCTTTTGCGACGCCAAAACTTGAAAAGAATTTGCCGAAGTAAAATAAATAAACAACTCTAAAATGGTTTATTTCAACTTGGCCGACCTAAGAAAGAAATGAAAAGATATTTGGGTTTAAATACGTACGAAATATTTTTAGATCTATCAAAAATATATAAGGTGATTTTAATATTTCGTATACGAGGGGACTTCAATATACTTAAAAGAATCAATGAAATTGAAAATGCTACACTTCCAGAGACGAATGGTGGAAATAAATATATTCTAGTAGCCATAAATTATTATACCAAATGGACTGAGGCCTACGCAATACGAAATCAAGAAGCTGCTACCGTTGCAGAGGTACTTGTTAAAGAATTCTTTAGACTTGGTGTTCCCTTGAAAATCCACTCTGACCAAGGGCGAAACTTTGAGTCAACCCTATTCCAAAACGTTTGTAAATTGATTGGTGTCAATAAGACCAGAATGACACCCATGTATTTTCAATCAGATGGAATGGTCGAGAGGATGAACCAAACGATGGGTAAACACCTGTCCAAAGTTGTATCGGAACATTAAAGAGATTGTGCTGCGACCTAAAGTTTGGCTGCAGAAGTTCAGAAGAACATGTTGCAAGCGAAGATTATGTCGACTGCCTGAAGTTAAGAATGAACAACATTGAACAACAAGAATGAATCTCATCTGTATTTTATAAGAAATTTGGTCATTTTGACGAGTTAAAAAATTAGCAGCCTAAAGTTTGAAGAGTACTGAGATTAAAAGATGGTCCTATGACTACTATTCCCTACTATATACTATTCTCATTTCCCCAAATTAAAATCCGTCCCCAAGCATTGGCGCTAAAACGACCAGCTGCTCGATATCTATCAACATATAGAGGAATAAATCTATTATTATTTGGTCTGTATACTCGAATTTTGCCCTTTTTAGAAGATTGAAAAATTTTCTTCTCTGTAAATATTCTGTCCCAAAAATCTTGATATTGTAGCTGATTCTTTAAAGCAAATATAAGTCTTGATTGCTTCTGTGGTGGCGTAAGAGCTTGATTTTTGCTTCAGATCAGTAACTAAGACGCGATGCTTTAATTTTGATCCAAGTTGTTGTCTTTTTTCCCGAAAACTGTCACATAATTCTTGCAGTTTTCGCATCTTCAAAAGAATTCCCTTCTAATCTCTCCAAAAGCGTACGATCTTCATGAGTTGTAGAGGGCGATGACGGCTTTTGCTTAAAATCACGAAGGAAATGGGAGAAAAACGAGAGAAGGAAATATCTAAAAAAATATTTACGCTAATTTTAGACTTAGAGTTTCATTTTCCAGTAATTTATTGACCAAAACTACTATTATTGACATTAAAATAGATATATACTTACATGTATATTGTTTTTCGTTAACGGTTAACGTTATCGTTTCCGTCTGCTCCATTTTTGGACACAATGAATTGTAGTACACTTCAAACTTCAGACTGATAAACAACTATTCAGTTTCAATCGGGTTTTATTGCAACAATTAAAATAAAAATGCACTGCTTATATTTATATCTAAAGATAATGTCAACACAAAAAAATCTATTTAATAAACTGCTATTACTGTAAATATTATTTTAGACTCATTTAAGTTTTCATTAACCGCATTTATTACTATAATAATACAATAATTGTATCAAGATATAAAAAAGTTTATTATCAAATTAAAATAATAGCAAAATTTCATTAAAACTAGAATTTTTTTATTTATTTATTTACATAAAGTACTTCGACAAGTGTAGTCATTAGTACAGGAATCCTAACATGAGATGTATATAAAATAAGGAAGTTTAATTAATATCTATTTGGTTAAATATTGTGGTAAAGCTGAGCGTTGTATAGTTTTCGTGATCGCTTTAGTGAGAGCGCCCACCAAAGTGGCGTGGCACGTGGCAAGTGGCAAGTAGCACGCGTCTAGCATGTTTCTTAAAATGTAACCAATGAAAACGAATGATTCAGCGCACACCAAAATGACAGTGACGTCATTCATTCTAATCATTCGTTTTCATTGGTTACATTTTAAGAAACATGCTAGACGCGTGCTACTTGCTACGTGCTACTTGCCCCGCCACGTGGCACGTAGCAAGCAGCAAGTAGCACGCGTCTAGCATGTTACTTAAAATGTAACCAATGAAAACGAATGATTCAGCACACACCAAAATGACAGTGACGTCATTCGATCTAATCATTCGTTTGCATTGGTTACATTTTATGTAACATGCTAAACGCGTGCTACTTGCTACGTGCCACTTGCCACGCCACTTTGGTGGGCGCTCTCCCTTAGGGTTGTTGAGCATTTCCTGACAGTTGGTCTCAAGTCTAATGCTGCATACACGTTGGTGAATGATTTGCAGTCGATTTAAAACATTAAAATGGTAGCAGGTTAAAGAATTCCAAAGAACATCAAAAAACCTTGGGTTTGGTATGGTTAGTTTGAAGTCTTATACTCATCGATGCTTTTCTTCTAGTTAGGAAGTCCAGGGAGAGATGACAAATAAACTATTAAAGTTCATGAACAGTTGTTTTGCTCGTTTGTCATAAGTTTTGCCAGGTATCCTCTACAGAACTCTCCAGTACCAGAACATCAGTATTGGTGGGAAAGAAATAAAACTCGTAGATAGATATAAATACCTGGGACATGAAATTATGATTGGCAGGGTTAACCAGACTCATGAACTGAAGAGAAGAATCGGCCTTGTGTAGGCAGCATTTGGAAAACTGGGAGAAACTTGCCTAAAGAGAAAGGTATTTGATCAGTGCGTCCTCCCAGTCTTGACGTACGGAGCAGAAACACTTACCTTAACAAAAGCCGCAGCTACCAAACTGAGAGTCACGCAGAGAAGAATGGAGCGGTCCATGTTAGGAATAACTCTGCGAGACAGAATAACCAACGAAGACATCAGGAGAAGAACCGGAGTGACTGACATCATCGAGAAGATAGCCAGACTAAAATGGAGATGGGCAGGACACATAGCCAGAATGACAGATGGGCGATGGACAAAGAGGTTATTGGAATGGAGGCCAAGGGAAGACAAGAGAAGCGTCGGTCGACCACCTACAAGATGGACTGACGATTTGAGAAGACTCAATAAAAACTGGATAAGAGCGGCGCAAGATAGACGGGGTTGCAAACACGAGGAAGAGGCCTATGTTCAGCAGTGGACTCTTGAGGCTGGATGATGATGATCCTCTCCAGACTTTAGAAAACGAGTTTAAGAATATTTCGTCAGAAGCCGGACTCAACGTCGGGAAGAATAATGTACTGTTCAAGAAAGCAAGTAAATCTTTTATTTATCACTTTTTTCAAGAAGTTTGCAGGTTGTACGAGAGAGAAATCGAAAGAAAAGTTTTAGAAGTTATAAAGGACAGATTTTTTACTTGTAATGATTGTAGAATTGTGACAAATATCTGAAAGCTTACACGTGTTCCAGATAAGATTATAAATTTCATAAAGTTTTGAGAAAGACGTATTGCAGATATTTTAAAATATATATTTAAAGAAGATTAGCAGCAGATTTTCTACACAATAAAGAAGACATAGCAAGACAGCAAATTTTAGTTCATGTAGGGTAAAGGGATAAGAATTAACTCCATATGACATCATGTGGAGTTGACGCAAAGGTTGAGAACGATTGAGTGTAAATAACTGGAAGGGTAAGCCGTATTACTCTTAATTAATTTATCTCTGAAATAATAGATGAGTGCTTTAACCAACTTATATCCCAATGCAAGAAATCGAAACCCACCGAATGAAAATGTCTGGTTTTAGTCAGACGGGGCAACAGCCCATTATGCCCTAATGGTAAGAGCTAACTTAAACAAAATTTTTCCATATAGATGGAATAGATGAAGAGGCACTATTGAGGGACCAGCTGGATTGCCAAACCTTACACCCTTGGATTTTTTCTGTGGCGTTATTTCTAGAACATAATATATTAAACACAGCCAACTAGCATTGCAAAACTCAAAGAAAGGATAACTACAGACGTATGAAATATTTTACCTCAAAGTTTAAACAAATTTCGGGATGATTTTTATTAAAGACTGTGTTATTGTCAATAAGAAAGTCTATATTTTAAGTATTTATTTTAATGTCTTGAGAAATTATAAAGAATTTCACAATTTTAACTTTTTTATTTATAATAGACCCAACGTGATCTTTTTCGTTGAGAACATGTTGTTAAGGAGCTTTTTCTTCTTCTTCAGGTGCCATCTCCGCTACGGAGGTTGGCAATCATCATAGCTATCTTAATTTTTGAGGCAGTAGCTCTAAATAGTTGTTTTGAGCTGCATCCAAACCATTCTCTCAGGTTCTTCAGCCATAAAATTCGTCTTCTTCCAATGCTTCTTCTGCCATCTATTTTTCCTTGCATTATGAGTCGCAGGATGCCATACTTATCGCCCCGCATCACATGTCCGAGATACTGTAGCTTTCTTTCTTTAATTGTAAGTTCAATTTCCTTCTCTTTGCCTATTCTTCTCAGTATTTCATTGTTTGTAACTCTATCTACCCAGGAAACCCTCATAATTCTTCTATAGGTCCACATTTCAAAGGCGTTAAGTCGTCTCATGGTATCTAGATTTAACGTCCATGATTCCACTCCATAATATAGTACACTGTATACGTAACATTTTGTTAGGCGTACTTTAAGAGCTAATGTTAGATCTTTGCCACATAGGACCTTTTTCATTTTTATAAAATTAGAACGTGCTTTTTCGATTCTGACTTTGATTTCTGCCGTGTAGTCATTATTTTCTGTTATAAGTGTTCCTAGGTAAGTGTACTTTTTTACTCTTTCGATCTGCTGGCCCTCTACTATCAAGATTTCGTTAGTATTATGTTGTTTTTACAAATTTTCATAAACTTCGTCTTTTTGACATTAAGAGAGAGTCCGTACTCCCTACTACACATGACTATTTTGCTCATGAGTCTTTCCAGGTCTTGTAAACTATCGGCTATTATTACTGTATCATCTGCATATCTGATGTTGTTAATTAAGACTCCATTTACTCTTATGCCGACTGTTTCATCTTCCAGAGTTTCTCGAATTACCTCTTCAGAATAGGCGTTAAATAATAGAGGTGATAGAATGCAGCCTTGCCTGACTCCTCTCTTTATTTCCATTTCTTCAGATGTTTCTTTTTCGATTCTTACTATTGCTCGCTGATTGTAATAGAGGTGTGTTATTAGCCTTAAATCTCTTTCATCTAGGTTTTTATTTTTTAGAATTTCCAGGAGTCGATCATGTTTTACTTTATCAAACGCTTTATTGTAGTCTATAAAACAGACGTAAAGAGGACGGTTAACATCCAAACATCTCTGTGTCAGCACATTGAAGGAGAATAATGCCTCTCTGGTACCCATACCATTGCGGAACCCATATTGAGTGTCACTAATATCCAGCTATAGTTTAGAGTGTATTCTGGCGTGGATAATTTTCAATAGAATTTTCAAGGTATGTCACATAAAGCTTATGGTTCGATAGTCACTACACTCTTTGGCATTCACTTTCTTTGGCAAACACACAAATGCTGATGTCAACATTTTCTAGGAATGATTCCCGTAGTATAGATAGCGTTGAACAGTTCTACTATTATGTCCAGGTTTTTCTCGTTGACCAACTTTAGTAGCTCGCTTGGTAATTCATCTGGACCAGCAGATTTATTGGTTTTCATTGAGTTTAATGCCTGACTAACCTCTGATTTGGTTATCTCTGGACCTACATCTCCCGTTTGGCTATCTACAGATGTACTAGCTTCTCTCTGGTCATGAAATAATTCCTCGATGTACTCTTTCCATCGTCGTAGTTTTTGTTCTGTTTCCAATATAATATTTCCATTTTTGTCGAGCAATATATTTGAGGTTCTTCTATTTCCTACTCCGGCTAGTTCTTTGACTTTTTTATGTAGGTTGAAGTTGTCATATCTGTTTTGTAGTTCTTCTATTTCTTTACATTTTTCAGAGAAGTAGGTCTCTTTAGCCTCCCTAATTTTTCTTCTTATTTGGTTTTGTAGCTGTTTATAGCGCGTCTTATTGATGGTTTTGTTTTTTCTCCTTTCATTCATCAACTCTAGAATTTCCTCTGTCATCCATTCTTCTTTCTTATATTTAGTTGTTGTAAGTAGTTTCTTACTTGGCTCCAATATAGAGGTTTTGAAGAATTGCCACTGCTGCTCTACGTTGCAGTTATTTCTGTCTAGATTTGTGTTGATTTCGTGTTTAATTTTGTGTTTAATTTCAGAGTTGTGTTTAAAAAGGAGCTTTTTAAAATATGAAAATATACAATGTTTTTCATATAACCTAAAGACAATGGTCTATGCTAGATGAATCACCCTGTACATTTAAACTTATATTTAAAAAGTGCACATTTGAATTTAAAAGTTGATACGTCTCAAGGTGATTTAAATTTTTCTAATATAAACAAACAACATATTTTATTCCAAAAGTGGTTTTTACATTGAGGCCATTACATTTTTTTATCAGAAATAAAGTAACTTATTTTTAACACAATCAGTTAAATGAAGTTCTTTATTTATTTGTACCCCTTCGGATCCCCTAACCCAAGGTATCTATCTATCAACAATATTGACACATGATAATCTATAACACTTTGCTTATCCTATAAATAAAACAAAGGAAAATATTTTTTAATTTTCTCATGTACCTACATATTTTACATCTGTATGTTGCCGGTAGTTGATTAAGTGAAGAATCTAAATATCTTATCTCAGTAAATATCTAAGTTTTTATTAAGCCTATATTACAATAGTATCTATAAATTTAAGAGGATTATCTGGCTCGTGTACACAAAGGAATCGAAAATTTAACTAGTTTTAAATCGAATCGAGTAGTAGTTTTATAGGTGAACTGAATTAACCCATAATACCCACAACTATGAACTTTTATAAAAATAATTGTAATTAACGTTATGTATCACAAAATGATTGAAATCTAAAAAAAATGTTTTGACATGTAGTTTTATGATTTGTCTGTTTGTCTGCTTAAACAGTTTATTCATATTAAAAACCACAGACATGTAGGGGAGAGGTGGGTACAGTGACACAGAAAAATTTGAATTTCTGTCATCGCTAGACCATTAATAGGATTTTACTTGCAAATATCAATTTGGACGTGGTATTGTGTTGCAAATACATCATGAATGACTACATTGCTATAAATTAAGAAAACAAATAGATTTAAAAAAAGTCTGAAACTTTGCATTGTGTCAGTGTTCCCTGGTATGAAGGGTACACTGACACAAAGACATTTTTCAACTGTAATATGTAAGTATTATTATTTAGGACTAATTAAACAATAAAAACGTATCTTTATTATTGATCTATAGAAAAATATTATAAATGCTTGTTGTTTTCTATGAAATCAAGTCCGTTTTAACATTAGGAAAAAAGTGTCGACCCCTGCTAATTTTTGGATGGTCCAAAATTTTTATAATCTGGTTGTTGAATATAACACCAATGTCTGTGACACATGGAAACACAAAGCATGTGACATTTTTTGAATTTTTACGTAAAAAACTGACTTCCATCGTACCAATGGTGTTTATCACCACAACTTTCCCAATATAATATTTTTCGATTTCTTTATTGGAATGGGCTTCATATTTGAGTCTCACTAATAAGAAATCATTGATCTTAATGTCGCAAATTTTGGCTGGATCTAATGTCAAATCACATAGGTCTTCATCATCACTATCTGAAAATATTTCACTTCCCTCTGACGTGTCAGAATTATGGAGACTATAAGTTTTACCATCTTCGTCTTCCGACTCAATAACATCATCATTGTTTTTAATGTCTTCTGAGATTATGCTTCTTTTAACTGTTTTCGCTTTTTTGGCTCTATTACTTTCAATTTCGTTTTTCTCTGGAGTGTCAGTAGCAATCATAGTCTTGCCTTTTTTTCTTCTAGTTTTAACCGAAATTGTCAGACTTTTTTTTGGATATTCACGAATAGCTGATGGACTTACAAATGTCAATTTTCTTCCACTTGTGGATGAAGGTGACAATTTCTGTAATGGAGTTACGTCCTGGTTCTTGATAGAGTTATCTGTGGTACCTCCTGTCGAGGTAGATGGTTTTGGATCAATATTTGGTGAATTAACTAATGGTCGTTCTGTAACTTGGCTTGCGAAATAATCATCATCATTAAATACGTGACGGTCAAAGGGAAATATTCCAGTTTTTTTAAAAGCTGCCGATATATTTACAGGTGTCATAGATCTGGGGTAAGCGAGTCCCACAAATGATGCTACATGGTAGATTGTCACAGGTGTGCCCGGATTAGCTTTTTCCCACGAACTTAAAGCATCGTTGTAAAATATATGAAACGGTTTTAGCAGACCCACATCTAATGGTTGCAACCGATGGGTGCAATGAGGAGGCACAGTCAAAACAGTGACCCCATTATCTTTGCACAGAATGATAGCTTCAAGAGATATATGGCTCTCATGGTTGTCCATGATTAATAGTGAAGGGTTAGCTTTTGAACTACAAGTATGTTTAATGAAATGTTTTAAAACTTCAATAAAACATTCTGTGTTCATCCATCCTGCTTTCGTAGCCAAGCCTAACGTCCCACATGGCGCTCCTGCCAACATATGGCTTTTAAAATGGACTCTCGGAAATACCATTACGGGTGGGATTGCACTTCCATTTGCACTTACAATGCAGCATGTGGTAACAAGTGTACCTCTTTCACTGCTTTGAATTTTAGACACTTGTCTAGTGCCTTTTTTGGCTAGCACCTTTGTCGAATTGTTTTGAACTGTCAAAGTTCCGGTTTCGTCTAAATTGTAAATTCTGAATCCATTTGAAAAATTTGGATGTCGCTGCAAAACTATTTCCAACTTATTAAAAAATAAGTTTACATTTTCTTTATTGAATCCTGCTGCTCTTGCTAGACTACATCCCTCTGGAGTTCTTAAGGATATTGTACGATGTCTATGGCGAAATCCTTTATACCAGTCGACTGAAGCTTTTTTTCCTCCTCCCAATTTTTTGGAATTTTTAATTTATTTGCTTTCGCTAAGTCATATGAAAGTTTGCGACAATCGGTAATTGTTAAACTGTAAAACATTTTTGAACACGTTATGATATAATCAACGAGAGCTTCCTCTAGTTCCAAAGAAAATATTTGGTTTATTTTATAGTTAGGAGCCATTCGGCATTCGGGATCATCTCTGTATTTCTTTACGTATCTGCTTACGGTTTTAAAGCTTAAGTTTTTCTCTCTAGCAGCTTGACGAATTGATATACCACTGATAACTAGATTGACTGCTTCCCTCATAGAATCTTCATTGAATCTACCCACTGTCTTATCCGTTTTCTTCTGACGTACCATCTGTAATGTAAATTCATAATTAACAAAAGCTTCTTAGACCCTAATATGATTTTCCAGCACTCATTTGCTGTCAAGATTTTATGAAATTCACAAGAAGGGTACAGTGACACATCGTGTCACTGTTCCCTATCAATATTCGTGTCACTGTACCCACAATGCTGTTTTATACAAAAATTTGTAAATTTTTTGTTAATCTACAAAGATTTTAAAGAAATTTTATTGCTATTACTTACATTTTATACGACTTTTTTACGACCCAGAACACAATCCAATAATTCAGGTTTGTTTCCTCGTAGTAAACAACTAAAAACACCCTTGACAAAATACTTCTGCACTAACAAAACACAAACATGCGATTTTCTCCAAACACAACAGATTCTGTCAACTTTTTATAAGACAAGTAGTATTCTTATTATACCAACTGTAAAATTCCACAATATCACCAACTTGCTAACATATTTTCTACTAGGATTTTAAATGTGTCACTGTTCCCTGTGTGTCACTGTTCCCGCCTCTCCCCTAATATTGGCATAATTGCTGTAATTTATATTATTTTATCTTTATGTTTATCTTTATAAGACAGCACCCAATTATGGGTTTTATTATTTCAGCATTTAATTAACTTTATATCGACTGACCTGAAGATGCTTAGCAAATTGTAGAAAGCGAAACCGGTCATCTAGGTAGTTAAATTAAACTGATTGTGAGTAAGTCATATTTATTTCTTTTTTACTTATTTGAAATGGACTCACACAAGCAACACATTCATGATTCCTGCTGAGAGTTGTTTTAATTCTCTCAATGGCAACATTACGGATTTCACGGGATAAGAATCTCCAGGGTTTTCTGCTTAGACTACATAGAATCCTGCGCTCAGCACCGAGTAGTCTTAACTTCTGATAATCTTTTAGAAGCCAATATAAGTTACTTATAGTCTTATAAGACTTATAAGAGTTTTTGTGTGTGTTCGTCCAATTTCCCCTGTAAGTGGTATGAGGAGGCGGACTTAATTTCTGACTTTTTTAAAGTTGCCTTTAGTCTCTAACCTAGAAATCGCTCATATTTATATACGAGTATTGGCCCGTGAGTATCAATCTTTGGAATTTCCTGGTCAACTGTCCAATAGGAAGGATTTTGAGGTATAGCCATTCATATCAACATACTCAGTAGTTCGCAATTAAGACTGCGTGATGACAGAGACAGAGTAAACAGTAGTTGATGTGATGTGATGTGTTGTGTTATTTAGCTGTCGGCACAATTCTGCCTCCATCTGTAACTCGCAACTGACACTAGATATATTATATCTGTAGTTGGTGGGTCATGGTGAATAAAAAATAAAATCTTAAAAAGTATATTTTGTAAAAAAAAACCATTCACATGTTAATATTATTAGGAATTAATTTATTATCTTACACCTTAAATTAATTAAAAGTTGCATCACTGTAAAACGTATTGTTGATAGTTATTCTTGGAATATAAAAAGGTTTTTTCTACAGTGGTAGGTCCATCTGAAAATTAAAAAAAAATCATATTTAACAACATAACTGTTGTATGATAATTATGACTTAAGAAACCGATTTAAAATTCTTTCCGAAGCTGGACTACTTGGATCCAGACGTAAAACAGGAAAGAAATTGCCATGTGTTAGTGATAGGCTTTTGTTGGCAAAACTTAATTATCATGAACACGATGGTTAATGAAACAAATGTTTAAAAATGTATTAGTTTTTATTGCCCTAGGGCTGAAAATACTTTTGTTAAGATCTGAATACTTACTCATGGTTAAAAATTCAATGTGATTTGGATCCGCCTCTTTCCTAGCAGAATACAGTGCATTTCGTATGGCAAAAGCTAAGGACACAGACAAGCATATCGGTGGTTCTGCAACAGCTAAAACATAAATCTAGTTTATGTTGTGTAATATCTTAAAAATGTTAACCTTCAATAATTTCAAGGTGAAAATGGAAAAGAAAAATCAAAAATTTGTAAACTGGGAGAAAATTTGGGTAAAACGATAGTTAAATGAAAATTTAAATATAACTTAGAAATAATTGAGAAATATACATTACCTTTTGACTTAAGCACTCCAACGGGATTTAAACTGTTTTCGGTGAATTTGACTCTAAAGTTAATTGGAATATCTTTGGCTCCTGGGGGCTTATATGTCCAAGTTCTGTTTGTGTACAATTTACCGTCCTTTCCATAGATAAGCTCTTCCGTCGTATAATATCCAATTCCTACAAATTTAAAAGCATTAAAAAATTACTATTAATTCATTGGATGATTTACTGCAATAAAATCATTAGAATAAGTCAACAGACGAGGTACCTTTCAGTTTCCTACTCTGTTTTTTTTTGTCATAAAATGATGTATTGTTAATGACCTCTCTGATTATCTACCCCAGATAAACCAGATACTTCAGTTGTTAAAGTAAATGACAAAAATGATGTTAAAATGAAAAAGCATGGATTAGGATGGTTAGAATCGAAATCTTAATTCGAAAATTGGTCATATAAATGGCAATTGCAGCTTTGGAAACTGCTGCACGAAACGTTTCTGTAGATGAGCAGTCAAATGTCTCCTCAGATCTCTCAGTCACGAGTTCTAGCGTCTTCCAACTGATCTTTTTCTTCCAATATGATTTGGAGTAATTCATATCTTTTCACCTCTTAACATATGACCCAAATATTGTATTTTCTCTCTTTGACTATGCTGAGTAACTTATACGCCTAAGTACCTCACCATAAGTAACTTTTTGTATCCATGGAATTTTCAACATCCGTCTGTATAGATTTCAAAGGAATCTATTCTTTTTTCTGTTTTAAAGTCCATTGTCCAACTTTCACAGCCATACAGCAAAACAGAGAAAAGCGTAACATCTGATCATTTAAATTCTGAGCTCTAGACTAAGATCTAGAGTGCAATGAACATCGCACCATAGTCTTAATGAGTCATGTCTTGAAATTGTTTTTAAAAGTAATTCACAATAGAATACATAAGAAATTAGATGAAGGCATAAGTAATACACAAATGGGATTTAGGAAAGAACTGGGAACACGAGATGCACTGTTTGCAGTAAGTGTTCTTTCGCAGAGATGCTTAGATATTAATCAGGAAGTATATGCCTGTTTCATTGATTTTGAGAAGGCATTTGACAGAGTGCAGCATAATCGACTTAAAGAAATTTTATTAAATAAAAACATAGACAGTAGAGACATTAGAATCATCTGTAACCTCTATTGGAATCAAACAGCAAAAGTGAAAGTTGAAAACGAACTGACCAAGGATATCCAGATTCGCCGTGGGGTCCGCCAAGGGTGTATTTTATCACCCTTGTTATTCAATTTATACAGTGAAGCCATCTCAGAATTAGCGCTTGCCGAGATCAGTGAGGGCCTTATAATAAACGGTGAGCCACTTAATAACATAAGATATGCTGACGACACCGTCCTTCTGGCAGGAACACTAGAAGAACTGCAACACCTTGCTGAACAACTAAATATATATTGCAATAACGATTATGGACTAAAAATCAATTTGAAGAAAACCAAGTTCATGGTATTTACAAAAGCACAAAACATCAAAGTTAAGCTAGTACTAGATAATACAGAAATTGAACAAATATCTTCGTACAAATACCTTGGAGCATGGATCACAGAAGATACTGATCAGACAAAAGAAATAAGATGCCGCATTGAAATTGCGCGGTCAACTTTTAATAGAATGAGAAAACTTTTTTGTAATCGCGATATCAATATATCGCTCCGGATAAGAATGCTTCGATGTTATATTTTCTCTATCCTTTTGTATGGAGTTGAAGCTTGGACACTTAAAAAATCCAACATTAAAAACCTAGAAGCATTCGAAATGTGGTGTTACCGACGCATTTTGAAAATATCATGGATGGATCGCAAAACAAACGAACAAGTTCTCGAACAACTAGGAAAACAATGCGAAGTTTTAAATTCCATAAAGATCAGGAAATTGGAATACTTGGGGCACATCATGAGAGGTGAAAAGTACGAACTACTAAGGAATATAATGCAGGGTAAAATCAAAGGTAGAAGAAGCGTAGGAAGACGTAAAATCTCGTGGCTACGCAATCTCCGTGAGTGGTTTGGATGCAGTTCAATTGAACTATTCAGGCGAGTAACCAATAAAATTATAATTGCCAGAATGATTTCCAATCTCCGATAGGAGTGGAACTTGAAGAAGAAGAAGACTAAGGTCTAACATGTTTAAGAACATGGTTTAAGAAAACCTCAACGGAGCTGTTTCGAGCCGCAACGAGCAAGGTTATGATTGCCAATATGATTTCCAACATCCGAAACGGATAGGAACCAGAAGAAGAAGAAAACTAAGGTCTGATCTTATGAAAAATGTTTTTATGTTCATGAGTGTTTTCCTTGCTTGTCTGGTTCTTGATAGGATTTGTCTTACGTCTATGAGGTCCATGATCTCTTGCATTAACCATTTTTTTTCTGTTGTTTTTCTTGAACCCGATGTCGTCTTCTTGTATCTTTGTTATTTTCGTTTTAAGAGCAGTCCATGTTTCTTCAACGTCTGTCTGTACCAAGTTCTCTAGCGTTTCTATTTCTTTCTCAACCTTGATTTTTTTTATTCTTCTTTTCAGGGTTCTTCAGTTGTGAGATGTCTATTTTTCTTGACACTTTTTCTGTCTGCAGGTGATTTCCAAGTATAGGCTACTAACAGGTTGAACTAATGACTAATTATGAACTAATATAGAAATTTACGAAAAATAAAATTAGAAAAGCTGACTACATAGAGACAAATGTAAATATAATGATAATGAGTTATTGCGCTTTTATCGTTACTTTTAAGAAAATTGTATTTTACCCATGACAAAAGCTCCCTCGATTTGTCCTATGTCGATCAGTGGACTCATGCTCTGACCTAAATCTTCAATAATATCCACTTGCAAGATTTGATGCTGTCCTGTCAATATATCGACCTCGACCTCTGTAGCACAAATTCCAAATATTGGATAGGGTTCAATATTCGGTGCTTGACCATAATAACTATAAATATGGATACATATTAGAAACGTGGTTAGATCAGTAAATAAAAAAGTTTGGTTTTTAATAATTGTACTTACAATCCAGTGTCACATAGTTGCACTGAAGCAGCATAACAGGCGTTAATCAAATCCACCCAAGAGGGATTGTTCATTTTATCTCTGACAGGCTTCATTTTGGCTAAGAGCTTATCACAAGCGACGATAACAGCCTAAAAATGGTATGTGTATTATTGTGATATTTAAAGTCTTGGTGCGCCAAGCAATTAATTAGCTAATTAATTAATTAATTAATTAAAATTATTTAAATGATATGATTATGACTCTATCACACTTTTTAATTCTCTTATCTCAGGGTTAAATTCGTGCTTCAATATCTATGCTATTACATGTGAAAGGTAAGGTCCAAAGAATACCGGAATAATAAAAAAACATATAGGATCTAACGTTATATATTGAAATAAAATAATGAAATAAAATTCACACTCAAATGTTTTCGATAAACAAATCTCATATAATGATTCTCAAAATTTTGTTCTACGTACGTGAACCTTCAAAATTAATGGTACAAACAATATTAATTGAAATCTCAAAATCCCAAATTATTCTAACTCTCCTAATCAAAATATTTATATCCTTTCTAAATTAAGTGTAAAAATTGTGTTATCAATGAAAGAAAAACTGCAGAAAACAAAACTATCTCTCTCTGATGATGAGTGGTCCAAATCCTTGTTATTTGTAGACTATATTATTTACTCGTGGCCGCTCCCTAGGTAATCAGCAATCTTACAACAAATTATTGCAAGTATATCGTCCTTAATGATCTCCTTCAAATGCACGAATCGTTCAAATTATGCTAGCTTCTTCTTCTCTCAATAAACTGAATCTCTCGTTGGCCTGAGTGAAAAATGACTCTTGGAATATCTTTTCTTTACGATAAACTGAATCTCTCGTTGGCCTGAACAGTGACTCTTGGAATATAAGTAGAAAAATATGACTTACAATATTTTACTGGATCAGCTTCTGTCAGATACACTAACTACACGAAAACTCACAAACTTTCACTGCTACTGCTTCCTACCTCTGGGAAACTACCCGAGAACAACGGCCGTTCGCCTTGCACCCTTGGAAACCAACTGATTATCTTTTCTCTCTCAAAAATCTAGCTAAACTTTCATTCCTACATACCTATCCCACCTTTTTCAATCTCCGCCAATCAAAGCTCGTCACAATTCCCCCATTTTTTCATTTCGATAACAAACAAATTCTTACCTATAATTATAAAATTTCCTAAAACTTATTTACAAATAATATTTTTCTACAATTCTTAAAAACTAACAAAAACCTCTTTCTGAAATCTATTCTATTGTCCTTTAATCACTGCATTAATGTATTTGGAAAACCCGGTTCAATTGTCTTTGGATTTCACTTAAAATTATGCGGGTCACTCAAGTATAGTATAACAAAGAAAAATAATTTATGCATAGCTTACATTTTGTTTAATACAGGTAATCCAAAAATTTAAAGACTTTCCTTCTTCGAAATGTTTGTTGGTTATTATCCTACTTATCTAAATTATTTTAATGTTTTTGAACTTTGAAATATTTTAAACAAACCAATATTTTTCTCGATTTTACATATCATAACAGTATATATAGTACGATACAAATGTATATATAGTACGATGATACGAGTTGTACATAAACCGTGAGACACCTATTCAGGAATATGAGAATTTCAAATTTGATGCTTGCAATGTTGCCACATTTATTAGTTTTCTGATATCAATCATATACCGTTATATGAATGTTAAGCCGAGAGAGCAAGAAAAAGTGCTACTAATACTCGATAACCACGAATTCTATATTGCAGTTTCCGTGATTGATTTGGCGAAGGAAAATAATATTGTGCTATTAACGTTGCCGCTACACACCTCGCACAGAACTCAGCCTCTTGACAGGACTGTTTTTGGAGCATACAAAACCTACTATAACATCATAGCTAATGAGTGGATGATGACCATCTTGGACGTCCTATAAGCTTGTATGACGTAGCTGAACTCGTAGGCAAGGCATACCCCTGCAAACATTATCAAAGGATTTGAAAAAACAGGGATATGGCCTGTTAATGAAAATATATTTGGCGACCACGAATATCTGTCGTCATAAGTAACAGATCGCCCAAATCCAGAATCAGAAGAGAATCCTAATACGGCATCTTGCTCATCAAGCCTTCAACTATCCGCAAATCCATCAACATCAAACTTGACACCGGCACTTTCACTGCAGTCTAATGACAACAAGGCAAATAACGCTGACTTCAAAAGCCCGTTTGTAGTGCGCTCTTTCCCAAAGCCGTAGCTCGAAAGACTTCTCAAAATGGACGAAAGCGTGGTAAAACAAGAATTTTGACAGACACCCCGGAAAAAGAGGAACTATTGCCAAGTAAGATGAAAAAACCAAAGACAGTCAAAAGGAAGGCTCTCTGCGATAGTTCAGATGAATCTGATGAAGAGATAAACAATTTAAGAAAAGATTCGAGTGACGAGGATTTAGAAACTTTTCTGACGAAAGAAAATAAAAATTATTCATTAGAGCAACAGGAAAGTGAAGAAATACTCTTCTAAGTTAAAAGAAGGTAATTTTGTTCTTGTAAAATATAGGCCAGTAAAAAGAATATTGTACACTATGTTGCCCAGATAGTTGAGGTTTAGATGACGAATACATGGTCAGATAATGGAAACAATAAATTTGTTTATTCAGATGAGGAAATCTCTTGTATCTCCGAAGGCGACATAATAAAAAAACTGCCTTCACCACATTTAATTACTATTAAACTGGTAATAAGCCACAATTAAAGATAAAAATACGTTTATTGACGTTTCAATTTCCACTTCGGAAATCGTTCTCAAAATACAAACAGTAAATTAAACAAATTTTGTTTTTTGTTACATAGTGAAAAATTCTTCTAATAATTTAATTTTATCTGACTCATTTATATTGACAATTCAGACATACATTATGCATTTTAAAGTAGACGACTTTAAAATGATATTGCCAATATTGTTGAGTTGCGCTCCTGGGACGACTTTACTTATAAGATAGTTCATTCGACTACATGAAATCAACTTTAACTTGAGAATATCCGTCAGAAAAAAATCATAGCATGTAATTCGTCTTTAAAAAGACAAACACATGACATGATGACAGTAAAATTCTCCTGTTAGTGATTTCATAGTAAATTATGAGGAAAAAACCAGGAAAAAAACCTTATAATACTATCCCGACATTGTAAGTATTTGTTCGTGAATTTAGTTTACCTTCAACAAACATCAAAATTCTGATTTTATATGTTACGTTATTTAAAAAAACATAAATGATGTATCCTCTATATGTTACTGACTTACTAATACTGGTATTTTCTTATTAATAACTTCCTCTTTCAGTATTAGTAAGTCAGTAACATATAGAGGATACATCATTTATGTTTTTTTAAATAACGTAACATATAAAATCAGAATTTTGATGTTTGTTGAAGGTAAACTAAATTCACGAACAAATACTTACAATGTCGGGATAGTATTATGAGGTTCTTTTCCTGGTTTTTTCCTCATAATTTACTATGGAATCACTAACAGGAGAATTTTACTGTCATCATGTCATGTGTTTGCTTTTTAAAGACGAATTACATGCTATGATTTTTTTCTGACGGATATTCTCAAGTTAAAGTTGATTTCATGTAATCGAATGAACTATCTTATAAGTAAAGTCGTCCCAGGAGCGCAACTCAACAATATTGGCAATATCATTTTAAAGTCGTCTACGTTAAAATGCCTATAGACGTATAGACGCCTTTGAAATGTGGACATGGAGACGCCTGCTTCGAATTCCATGGACGGCTCGCCGTACAAATATCTCGGTTCTGGATGAAATTAAACCGGATCAGCGTCTCTCCAGTACCGTTTACTCTAGAATTTTAAAGTTCTTTGGCCATATCCATCGAAGTGATCACAAAATGGAGCGGTTGGTGGTCCAAGGAAGACCTCAGACTCAACGCCAACGCGGAAGATCTCCACAGCGATGGGCGGACATTACTAAAAAGCTTCTCAATAAACAGTATACTGAGGCAATACATATAACTGATGACCGCGACCAGTGGAGAAATATTATCAATCAAACTGTCCGAGCTGCTGAAGCCCAATTATGAACCACAACACATCTACTAAGATGTTAATGACTGTGATGATGACTTTAAAATGCATAATGTATGTCTGAATTGTCAATATAAATGAGTCAGATAAAATTAAATTATTAGAAGAATTTTTCACTATGTAACAAAAAACAAAATTTGTTTAATTTACTGTTTGTATTTTGAGAACGATTTCCGAAGTGGAAATTGAAACGTCAATAAACGTATTTTTATCTTTAATTGTGGCTTATTCCCAGTTTAATAGTAATTAATTTACAATGCCACAAGAAAATAGCTTCAGAATAATATTCACCACATTTGGTTGGATCACAACGCCAACAAAATATCATGTTTGTCATCTTATAATTTATGTAATAAATAAGATTCCATTCGTTTGTGTTGTTCCTTCTTAATCGAAGGCAATTTATTCTCTGAACACAGGTACAACAATGTGGTGGTACACAGGTAATGTGGACAAACTCTCCCCAACTTATTTCCAAATGAAACATTTTTCAATTCAAATGGACGAGTGAACATATTAGCATATTATGTTCTATTTCGTAATTTTTTGCGAAATATTAACAAAATTAAATTAACTAATTGAACATTTATGACTTTGTATATAAAAGTAAGAATAAATACGTACATAACATATAGCTTCACTGGTTAGACTTCCTCCTGTACAGGCATTGTTTGGAGTTACGAAACTGTAACATGGTTTTATGGAGATTTTATCCATATCGATTCCAAATTTGTATGCAACAACTTGGATAACCTACAAATTTAAAAAAAATTGCTTAGTTTTTATAATATACAATAATGAACTTTGATATTTTCTTTCAATATACACATGAAATAAAGTTGTAAAAAATTATTGAATTGAAAGACAATCGCCAAAGATCAATTGGCGCTAACTTCAAGAAATCAGTACCTCTGTTTTTTGTCGTAAGCGAGAAAAAATTTGGTCCTGTGTTCTAAATAACATAACAATAACATAACATAACAATATCTTTATTTTTAGAAAATAATATACATTCCGTGAACATAAAATTATTAAAAAAAAACAGTGTCACAAACGAAAATATTATTTACTTATTCCTAACCGTTACATATACAAATAGTCCTTCACAGAATATGGCTCAAGAGCTACCAGTAATTTAAATATTTGATGTTTATACAAACTTAATCTTTCCTCCCTTTTAATAGGTTCAGGCAGTTTATTAAACAATTTGATGCAGCAATAAAGAGCGTTTTTTTCTGTTATACTTAACCTGTGTATTGGAATTTTATAATTATATAACCTGGTATTTACTATACTATTGGGCTCAAAGTTCCTAAAGAGTATTTTATTTTTATATAGAAACAGTAAGCATTCTTGAATAAATACAGCGTAAACTGTTAAAATATTATTACTCCTAAAATGCCCTCTACATGATTCCCTACTTTTTAAGTCAAACATAACTCTGATTATTTTTTTCTGAACCAGAAATACATTATTTATGTCCCTACTGTGGCCAAAACTTATTAGACCATATCTAAATTTTGCTTCAAAATTAGCATGATACACTGTTTTTAATGAGTTACTATTCATGTATTTTTTTAGAACTCTAAAGCTGTAAATCACTTTACTCAAAGACATACATAACTGGTCAACATGTTTATCCCAACATAAAAAACTGTCAATATATAATCCTAAAAATTTGGTACTGCTGCTAATATTTAAAGTGTCATTATTTACAATAATACTGTTTGGCATATCTGAATGTGCATAATTTGTCTTAAACAAAAGAAGATCTGTTTTATTTTGATTTAAAACCAACCTATTCATAGAAAACCAGTCTTTAGCTTTCTGGAACTCTAAACTAGCATTAACGCTTAGAACAGACATGTCTTTACCACTGACTAAAATGTTTGTATCATCTGCATAATTTGTTATGCTGGAAGTAGTATTAGCCACTAGACCATGAGATCATTGATATAGATCACAAACAGTAAAGGACCAATCACACTTCCTTGTGGTACTCCAATATTGATAGTGCTTTCAGATGAGATGCCTATTTCAGTGATTTTATGTATTTTTACTAAATGTCTCCTATTTGCCAAGTAGGACTTAAACCAGTTCAATGCTGGTCCACGTATACCATATTTCTCCAATTTATCAAATAATATGTCATGCACTAAACAGTCATATGCCTTTGATAGGTCCAAAAAGAGACCCAAAGCCATATCCCAGACAAATTGAAAAATCGCATAACAATATGCAATAAAAAAATGCTCAACAAATACATATTATAAAGAACAAGTTGTAAATAAATATTCAATGTACCAAAATCTTTTAATACAAGCAAAGTAATTGCTGCAACAAAACCCAGCAAACACTACGATGATGTTAAAAGCCTTCTTATCTGCTGCTATAAACTGCTGAAGCGATTGCACAGGCGTACAAATTCTTAAAAATATCCCACTTGAATAAGAACCTTTCAGATAGAATGTAAGCTGCGCAGATCAAGTCCTAAGTCAAGCTGCACATAAAGAAGAGCTATCTGAATCTCTGTTGTTTTAGCTGGATAGCATCAGCGGACGTACTACGAATATCTATGGTAAGTATAGTATATTCTGCAACAGAGTACAATACTTTAGTCTGACTAAATAGGGCTTATGTGAAGATAGTGGATATGCAGCTCGATATAGCAATGAGAAATGAGAATTATTAGCGGCAAGAATTCTTCGTGTTGAGTTGGGTGGTTGGGTTTGGTTGTAGATCTAGATCATCTTAGAACTAGATACACAAACAGATAGATTATCGTCAAAAGACACAAATATTAAAAAATATTTGTCTGTTATTGAGTTTTGTGTTTTCCTAATTTTCTACAGGTGATGGAGTCTGTGACTCTTTTTTTATGTAATTTTCCATATGAATCCATATTTGCTATATTATTGCGTAAAACTTTTTTTCAGAAATTTTTTCACTTTTTTTAGTCAGAACTCTTACGGGCTTATCTCTAGTTTAGAACGCAGGAAAAATCAGTACCGCCCGGCGTATGCTTTTCTTGACTGCGATTTTTTCACAACATTCAAAGGGTAAGTGGCATTCCTTTTGTGCTGATAATAATTTATGATTTTTGCCAATGGAATTGTTCTTATATTTACAACAATATACATTTCATTTTTTTGGGCTTTATTTAATTAACCAGCTAATTCTATGTCCCCTACATGTAAAGTTTGTTATCCTAAAAACGAATTAATTAAAATTTTATAATTTTATAATATTCTTTGGACATGCATTTTATGGCCATTAGATCATCATGGCGTAGTTTAGTTAAAGAAAAATATTAAACTCCATAGTAATAGAATTACCTTTGTATTTATACCTTGACCCATTTCTACACCTCCATGTGAAACAGCAACACCTCCATCTCGATGGAAAATAGAAACAAGAATTGAAAAACTCAGATTCACATCTAAAACCCATCGCATCGGAACTGTGGATAGTCCCCTTTTAGTCCAGCGGTTGGCCTAAAAAATAAGTTATTTTTGTTATTGCATTTCTATATCAAACCCAACAATATTCAAATAATATAACAGCTTATATTTAACAAGTAAACCTCACATTTAAAAGGTCATATTATACACAATACAACTTACAGCATTAAACTTTTCTATATCTGCCTTTCTTTGATCAATATTAGCCCAAGAATTAAGATCAGTCCAGTAGCCTGGCATTTTAGGAGATGAGGTTGTGCTGGTGTTTGCCTGCTTCACAGCATCGGAGCTTATATTTAGAGTAAAAGCAATATGTTCCATGATATTTTCAATTTCTGCTGTTGCTTCTACTGTACCTAAAATATGCACATAACTTAGAATTAAATATCAAACATTTAATAGGGCCAACAAGATCGATAGAAGCATAGAAATGATAAAAGCCTAACAACAAACAGAAAAAAAACGAGTAGAATAGATTTAAGAGGAGAAAGATCTTGGATCGAACATTACTCACAAGTTGACTGAAATAAGACTGTAATTTATGAACAACATTACAACAATATATGAAGTGGAATACGATGAAGATAAAATAATAGTACAGGAAGTCGAAGATGCAATCATCATCAGTGGCGTTACAGCTCATTATGAGCCAAAACCTTCTTCAGAACAATCCTCCATTCGCCCCTGTCTCTGGCAACTCTTCTCCATGCTCTAATTCCGATAGACTTCAAATCATTTTCTAGGTTGTCTTGATACCTAAGTCTCGGTCTTCCTCTTCTTCTTTGCCCTCTTCGGTCAAAAACTTTTCTGACTATGGCATCTTCCTCTCGTCTGATTACATGACCTATCCATCTGAGGCGTGCTACCTTAATGAATTTTACAACGTCAGGTTCTCCAAAACTTCTATACAACTCAAGTCGAAGATGCAATACCAAGTCTAAAAAATCGAAAAAGCATCCAGACCACAAGGTATATTGAACGAATTATTAAAACACAGCCCATGAGTATTATGGGAATTACTAGCGTATGTTGTTATCTTATTTATTAAGTATCATAAATTCACTGTTAAGGCTCTATGAAAAAATAAAAAATAAAATCGAAACAGAGATGACAGATGTAGAAGAAGGCTTGTATAAAAATTATTGGTAATAATTGTACGACCTGCATTTAGAAGATTTCTTGAGAGATTGTGAAAAGTGAGTAGTATCCCCTCTTTCGTTTCTGTCACCTTGTATTAAGCTAACTTGTTGGTACACGCTTTTTGCATTCTATGCTGCAAGTCCTATTGGTCTACATCTGTGTATTCTTAGACGTGGAATTTTATTATCTAAACGAGGATTTTGCTTGTTCTCGAACTGGAAGTCTAGTCTTTTACATGATCTTTGTCTTTCCTGTCGGATCTTTTTTTTTTTTTTCGACACACTAGACTTAATAGGGTGAGGAACGTAGATATAAGGAGAGAAATGGAAATTGATCTAGACATAATAGACATCTGCAGAGAAGGTCTGAAATAAATGGTCAAAAATGATAGAAAAATGGACCCCGCCACTAGAAGAAAACAAAGTGGCCCAAGACAGTCTTGGAAAGAAGATGTCAAAGATACAATTACCAGAAATTTAAAAACTGAAGATAACTTCGACAGAAGACGCTGCAAATTAAGATGCGAGAAACGGCGCCAGCTATAAAAAACTCGCCAATTATATTATAGATATAAAATATTTACTGTTGAATCTTACCAGGGGCTCTAGTGTAACAGTTTGCAGCATTGTCCGTCTTTACATTATAAGTTGAGAACTCCCAGGAATCCATATTATAAATATTTTCAAAACTAGTCGTAAACAACTGGTAAAATGGTTCGTTTCCACCTACACCTAAATCACAGTAGGCATCTGCTTCTAAATACTGGATAACTCCATTATCGTTTACACCAACATTATATTTCATATAGGAAGGGAATCTCTTGCCTATAATATCCATATTTTGTTCAAAAGTGAGTACTAATTTTATAGGTACTTGAAGTTTAACTGCTGCTACAGCTGCTGCGGCTGATATCATGCTATTTCTTAAGAGTTTGCCACCAAAACCACCACCAAGACGTGTCACTTTGACGTTAATTCTGGAAATTAAAACAATTATAATTTGAGGTATTAGAAATTTGAGGTATTAATTAAAACAATTATTATTTGAGGATATATGAATATATGTACTTAGGTACTCTCATTGATCAGACATGTAAGGAAGAAACTGAAATCAACCTGAGACTGACCACGAGCAACAGGTGTGCTAGAGCCAAGAGCAAAATAATTAAGGCCAAAGATATATCTCATAATACAAAAATAAGAGTCTACAAAACTATAAGGTGACCCACAATGCTATACGCTGCTGAGACACGGACTATGAACAAAACCATACAGAATACATTGGAAGCATGGGAAAGAAATATACTTCGCATAATATTTGGTGGAAAATTAGTAGAGGGAGAATGGAGAAGACGAACTAATGCAGAAGTGTATCATTTGTATGCTAACCCTACAATAACAAAAGTGGTGAAAAAACGTAGACTAGAATGGCTCGGTCATCTAGAAAGAATGCAAGGTGATAGACTAGTCAAGAATATTGCTTGGAGAGTACCTGAGGGCAAAAAAAGAGAGGAAGACCAAGAAAGAAATGGAGAGATGTAGTGATGGAAGATGTCAGAGAGATGGGAATCAGAGATTGGAAGCTGTTAGCTAAGAATAGAAAACGATGGAAATTATCCATCCAGCAATGGGCCTAAAAGGCCTGTTAACGCTGTACATACATACATACATACAAACTTTACGATTTATGTCAGTTTTAAAGAAGTCATCAGTTTTAATTAGTTTTTTTTCAATGGGTTTTTTGGCTCAACACATCCTCCAGCTTTACTTTGTGTTAAAAATCTGTAAATCGCTGCTTCAACAACTCATGGCAAACCTTAACAATAACTAACGATTTTCCGAACAGTAATGTTTGGCGTTTGTGTGAACTAAGGTACATTCAATATAATTGTTTTTTCCCGTTGAGAATAAGAACTTTTTCTGACCTGCTTTGTGTGGACTAGTGTTAAAAACACAACTAACATTAAATAACTATTTTTCAAATTATACCAAATACCTGACTTTAAGCATTGATTGCACATAAATATCAAAACCCACTGACTTTAAATCAAGGATTTCTCATTTTAATACCTGTATATACCTATCGATTTCTATTATCTTTAGTTTTCCTTACTTGTTGGTGGGCATATTTAAAACTGTGGAAGCTCCGATTTGATTGGCGTCCATCCACTGGGTGGAGGAAAATATATCTATACCCCCATCATCTAACGGTACAACTTTGCAGCTATGTACTTCCATGTGGAAATGGTATTGTCTGTCCAAGAAAAATTCTCCTTTGATCGTGTGCTTAACATCCTTTCCTAAAATAATACAACCAAGAATTTATTACGTTATCAAAATTAATTTTAGTACATCTTAGTTGATTGAGAAACTCTAAGTTGGCCAAGAAAGACATTTTTATATGGCAAGAATTAAATCTAAGTGCTAAGTACTAGCCACACTTTGAAAATATTTCTACGCATCATCCACAGTAGAATCAGAGATAAATGTGAAGAAGATCAGGATGAAACACAATTTGGCTTCAGAAAGGGACTGGGAACTCGGGACGCCCTCTTTGCACTAAATGTATTACTGCAGAAATGTCGAAATCAAAGGAAAGACGTCTTTGCTGTATTTATTGACTATGAAAAGGCCTTTGATCGAGTACAGCATCACAAATTAATTACAATATTAAAAGAAAAAGGAGTTGATAGTCAAGACATACGATTCATAGAAAAGTTATACTGGCGTCAAACAGCGACAGCTTGCATAAACTGAAAATTAACAGAAATATGTAAAATACAAAGAGGTGTCAGACAGGGTTGTATACTATCCCCACTGTTATTTAATTTATATTCAGATAGAATATTTAAAGAAGCGCTGCATAATTTGGAATGGGGCGTGAAAGTTAATGGAATTCTGATAAATACAATCAGATATGCAGACGATACAGTTATTTTAAGTGATGACATGAATGGATTACAATGCCTTTTAAATGCCATTGATACAGTGGGAAGAGAGTTTGGCCTAAACATAAACTGTTCAAAAACAAAACACATGGTGTTTAGCCGTTTAGCACATCAAGATGCACGATTATATGTTGATGGTCATATAATTCAAAGAGTGTCCAGTTTTAAATATCTTGGTTGCCATATTACTGAACAACTAGATCCACATCAAGAGATAAAATGTAGAATCGAGATAGCCCGCACGACATTTTTAAAAATGAGGTCATTCTTCTGTAATGATAACTTGAAACTTCAACTTCGAAACCGTATGGTTAAATGCTACATTTGGTCAGTCGTCTTATACGGTGTCAAAACATCGAATGTAGAAAGATGCCTATTTTAGACGCGTAGTAAGGGGAGACCGATATAATATTCTTCAACTCATTAGAATGGGAAAAATCGAAGGACGCGGAGGAATTGGTAGAAAGCAGGCCTCTTGGTTGAAGAATATCAGAGAGTGGACAGGAATAAAGAAAGCTGAACAACTCTTTAGAATATCTCGAGACAGAGACAGTTTCGCCATGTTAATCGCCAACGTCAAGGGGACTTGATAGGGCACGTTAAGAAGAAGAAGAAGCTAAGTACTAAGGCAAATCTATGTAGCAATGAATGACAAAGGAGTGTGTAGAATATACTAGGAGCCAAATATCGTAAAATATATTAAGTTGTAAGACATAAGGGTATGTATTGGTCTTTTAGTCAGAGAAGAAAAAGACATAAGAAATATGGGAATACGTGCTTGGTAGACGAAGGCGATGAATAGGTCCGACTGGATAGAAATTGTTGAAGAGGCTAGGACCCACACAGAATAATAATGAGGATAAGAACAAAATTTTGTGGTACGGCACATTCAGTGAGCTACACCGAACCACTAACTTTTATATCGAACCGAACTATTCATCCATTGACCGATTCTATTTCATTTTTGTCACCTTAAATTGAATTAAAATGGTTTTGTTTCCTTCTCTTGAGCTGAAACTGTAGTAGGAGCCGATGGTATAATTTTCTCTGGTTGTAGTTTTGAAGGTGCAGGTTATACTGGCAAAATTGGTTCCTTACTAATTTCGGGAACTAATGGACTTAAATGCATCTTCAAAAATCTCATGTTTGACAGTTTCTTAGGTTTAACCGGTTCAGGATGCTCTTGTTCGAAATCTAAGAAGTGATCAACTTCTTTTTTCTCGGGTTCAATGAATTTTTCAGCTTCTATTAGATTTGCGGAAAATAATTTATGGTTTCCATGATCGAAGACAGAAGTAGCCGGAGGTAGTGTTGCACCCTGTAAAAATTAATCTTTAAAATGTTGCATCATTGTTGACATGTTTGAGGTGAGTTTAGAGCCCCGTTCGAAATTAGTTTACAATAATTGCAATGGAAAAAAGTAGAAATCTAAATAATTTTTGTATTAACGGGATATTCTAGTATTTGTAGAATTATTAATTAGCCATGGAACACCATAAAGACATAAAGAACAAGGAGCATTTAACATTAAAAGGGAAGTAGATTTGGTGGATGATCTCGAACATTTAGGACATGACTTAAGTTCTTTACAGAATTGGTTGGGTTTCTAACAAGACAAAGGAATGACAGCACCTGAAACAGTCCATGAACACGCCCAAGACTGCGGTGAGTCATCAGACCGGTGCTTCCTATTTAATACATTCTTTGCAAAATCCACTGATTCCTGAAAAAATTAATAGAAATTTATTGGAAGACGATTTCTTGGATAGAGGTGAAGGTAAATAAAAATTGGATCAATTTTTACAGGATGCAACACTACCCCCTATTACTTCTGTCTTAGATCATGCAAACAATAAATTATTCTCCGCAAATCTAATAAGAGCTGAAAAATTCATTAAACCCGAGAAAAAAGAAGTTGATCACTTCTTAGATTTCGAACAAGAGCATCCTGAACCGGTTAAACTTAAAGAAACTGTCAAACACGGGATTTTTGAAGATGCGTTTAAGTCAGATGTACCTCCATTAGTTCCCGAAATTAGTAAGGAACCAATTTTACCAGTACAACCTGCACCTCCAAAACCACAACCAGAGAAATTATACCATCTGCTCCTACTTCAGTTTCAGCTCAAGAGAAGAAAACATAACCAAAAAAAAATTGTCAAAAAAGTGGAAGAAAAACCTGAATTAAAATGAATCGACGAATAGAGTTATTTGGACGATTTTCACATTTGGTCCCATTGAAGATAGCTTCAAATGGGTTTGACAGAATGAAATATTGGTGTTTCGCAGTGTTGAAATTTACATTACAAATGAAATACACGCAATTAAAGCAATAAGATATTTAAAAACTAATATTAACCGATTACGAAAAAAAGAAAAAGTAAATAGTTTTAAAACATTTTTTAACAGTAAATAGGAAAATATCAGTATAAATAATAAAATTTAAAAGGCATCTGTTGCAATCTGGCAGCTGGTGGGTTCGACATGGCAATTGCCAAAAAAATTTTCTGATAATTTATTACAACTAGTATCAAACGAAACAAATATTACTTCATTAATATTTTATATAAGGTATAAAATTGCAGAATCCATAAAATAATATGATAAAAATGTACCTTTTAAAAGCTTTATCTCTTTGTATTTGAAGCATATAACATATACATTATAATAACATGGCAACACTGCCAACGCAATATTTCGTTCTGTGAAACTTAATTGACAGCTAATTTGAGGCTATCTTCAATGGGACCAAATGTGAAAATCGTCCGAGTTATTATTAAGAGACCTACCTTTACTACGTGGCAAGACTGTATCCACATGAGTTATCCTACTGGTCACATTATCTGCAACAACTTCTCTAACATCCAAATAATACTTGTTTAGGGGAGGGGTATATTTAATCTGGACCAAATTAGCGGCGGTTAGGGCAGCGTGTGTTGTTTTGGCTATAATGAGACCTACAGGTTGGTTATAATATTGAACTGTGCCGCTACAGAATAATTCTTCTTCTACTGACCAACCCATGGAAGGATCGATTGGTGTCCAGGTATTACGACCAGGTATGTCTCCTTTGTCGATGAAGGCAACAACTCCTTCAACTTTCTAAAATATAGATTTTCAAGTGAAAAAACATATATTAGTCTGATTCTATTCGATTCGATAATCGATTCAATTCGATAACCAATTAGATTCAATAATTGATTTGATTCGATAATAGATTTGATTTGATAACCGATTCAATTCAATAATCGTTTAGATAATCTATTCGATAATCGTTTCGATAATCGATTAACTAATCGATTCGAATTGGTAATCAATTCAATTAGCTTCGATTTAATTCGATTTAACTAAATTATATTCAATTTGATAGAGTAAAGTGCCATAATATTGAATAGTTGCCTATTATCGGATAGTTCTGTTTTAAAGGAACCAGTTTCTTACGCTTTCTTTTAATTTGTTCACCGCGAACGTCTTGGAAACATCCTAATCTCAAATAAAACTGTCTTTATTTATTTAACATAACAGGCGTGATCGACCTAATCGCAAGCGTTATTCGTTCTTTTAAGTCATTTAAATCAGAAGGTTTCGTTTTGTACACATGGATCTTCACATATCCCCATAAAAAGAAATCTAATAATGTAAGATAAGGTGATCGCGCTGGTCATTCAATCGATCCTCACCTTCCTATTAACCGATTGGGAGATATTGTATCGGAGTACTGCCGGACATTAAGTTGGTAATGTGGTGGTGCTCCATCCTGCTGAAACCATATTATATTTGCTGGAATTTGAGGGTTTCCTGGATCAGGATATAAATTTGCCAACGTTAGAATGACATCATTTTGAAGTAGTGTCAAATAATTGTTGCCATTCAAGTTGCCCTCGATGAAAAAGGGATCAACGATATTGTTTCCTACAATCCCTGCCCAAACATTAACCTTTTGAGGATATTGAGTGTGTTCTTCTCTCATCCAGTGAGGATTTTCCGTGGCCCAGTAGCGGCAATTTTGCCGATTAGCATGACCGTTAAGTGAAAAAGTACACTCATCAGAAAACATAACGTCTTCTAATTGGATAATATTGTTATCCAACATTTCCGTCATTTGCTCACAAAAAAAAGTTCTATCAAAATCGGCTTCCATGAGCTCCTGAGTAGGTATCATCTTATAGGGATGCAATTTATTTTCTTTTAATATGTTTACTATCGATTTATGGCTAGCATTGAATGTAGTGGATGCCTGTCTACTCGATGTATGTGGATTTTCCTGAAACTCAAGCAACACATCTAATTTGAGTTCATCACTCAGTACATTCTCAGCTGCTTTTTTTATCTGTCTTACATGACCAAACTCGCGAAACTGCTTCTCTATTTTACTTATTGTTCCTTGGGATATAGGCGGTAAATTAGAAAATTTCTCATGAAATAGGCGAGTTACTTCCTGTTGTGTACGGGTGTTTATCTCCATAACCAATAATTTATAAAACTGTTATTTTATGCATTTCCGTTAATCTAACTATTTTTCAGAATTGAATTGAACGAACTTTTTACTAAATAAAAATACTAACAACTTAAATAAAACAATTTACTAATGCGTGTTAAAATAACGTTGTCACGGAAATTCCTTAAAGTGTTTTAATGGTTACCATCAAAAAACCACATTGCTATGGTTTTTGTTCACTTTCTCATTATCAAGACCTAAACGGGAAATAAGTTTTGAGTATAGTTTAGCAAATTTCGGTAACCACATGATTTTAGTTTATTTTATCTTAATTAATCTTAATAAACTTGAAAGCTACAACATTTTTTAATGGAGAATGAAAAGACCTTTCAAACGATATATCACAAGTCTATACTTCCTATTTTAAAAATTGGGGGTTGTACATATCATTCTAAGGTGGTTGAAGGTAGGGGTTGCATTTTCACGTTAAAGAATGTCAAGTTATAATTTAAATTTGACGTGTTTCGGGATTTTTTATAAATATGTACAGTAATCAAAATAATGAATTTAATTCATTTGGCTTTTACACACTGTATGTGCAAAAGTTAGTAGAGGATAAACCCTTGCCTCAAATATCCCACTGATTTTTTATTTTATATTAAATTTCAAACATATCATTTTTAAAAAAAAAACTTTTTTTGAACGAGTTCAGTTCTCCGGCACTTCATAATAATTTCAAATTGTATATGGCCCGTAACGTCTAAAAGGTTGAACCACACTGGTATAGATACTTACCAGCGCCTGTGAGGTGTCTATATTTATTATCTTAGAACCTGCCACACATTTAGCTGTTACAAAGCTTGCAATGCATTCATGTGGTATGTCCGGCATATCCATTATATACTTAAGCTGACCTACAAAATAAAATGTGAAATAAAAATTATTTCATGTAAATTCAACATGTTGAAATTTTGAAATTTTTAGGACACACAAAAGTAGTAAAAGTATGACACTTACCAGATGTTTGTGCTAACGATTCTACCTTTGGAATAGGTTGAGTTAAAGGCCATTCTTTGTTATCTGTACCATATTGTTGTGTTCCTGTGGAAAGTGGTCTTGTTAGGATGGTACCACCACTTTTATATCTTGCTCCGACTAGATTGGGTGGACTAGTTTTTAAAACAAACTAGAAACAGTACAAATTTTAAAATATTGTTCACAAACATTTAACAATAATGACTTACGATATCTAAAAAGTAATATTTAATAGCACTTACTTTATAAAACAGAGAAATAGCTAAATTTTTTCTAAAATCAGGAGTGGGATCCGGAAGTACATAATCCGGATTTATTTCCTGCTTCAGTGAATTGAAAGCTTTTTGTAAAGTATCATTGTTATACAAATTTTGTCGAATTAGGAATTTTTCTGTCTTGGAGGCATGTACGAATTGGGGATTGATTCCACCATAAACGATATTGGCATAGGTAACGACGTTGTTCTTTAGTTTTACCAGGAATCCTGCGTTGACCATGGCATGTGCGTTTTGTGCCCTTGGCATTATCTGAAAGTAAAATTAAGATATAATCCTTTTATTACGTAACGGCAAAGTAAAGGCACGAAGAAAAATCATTTTTTATATCTCCAATAGATGGTGCCAAAGTTATTACCACTGGTAGGTCTTCATCATCCTTCACTCTATTCATTATGCTGTCGAAGGTTGGTGGTATGTTTTCCAAAAGAAAAAATCATGGACAATTTTCCTTATTCGAGCTTTCGCTTTGTAACGAGTGCGTTACTTAAATAACCGTTTACCTTTTTTGTGACTGGAGTCTTTTAATTTAACTTTAATTTAAATTATATATTTGAAATATTCTTAAACTGAATATTTAAATAACTCCCAGCAAATTTTACTTTCTAAGGTTGGCATTAAATCCCGACCTCTGGTGTAAGATTCTGAAAGTACGTCGACTTGACGACTTGTAAGTGTTAATAGAATTACTTGTTGACTGGGTGTGATCGAAGACAGATCGATCGATCATAGTGGCGGCTGGGAGGTGCCATTTTTAAGAAATTTAGTTTAAGTTTATTTTTTTTTATGAAGAACCGCTGATTTAAGGACAACAATTTAAGTTATTTTTGGGTGTTTTGTACGAGGATACTTTAAGTTTTGGACCACCTCCGCCGGTAAGATGAACTTATAAATATATTACATGAAAAACCATGTCTGATCATCCGCCATTGTTAGTGAAATTCAAATCAATTTTAATCCTTTCTCGATAGATATTTCACACATCTTATATATGTCCTATTTTACGATATTTCTCGATAGATATTTCACACATCTTATATATGTCCTATTTTACTTTATTTCATTAATACCTAAATACATCACAAGTATTATATTTTATAATCATGTCAAATTTTATTTCTTTCCAAGGATGAAAGCAAACAATTATCTATTTCAATTCCATACCGTTTAAACCGGCTAATATTTCTTTTTTCCTATTTTATAATATATAAAGATCATGCTTTCCGTTAAAACTATCTTATAAAAAACGTTGTCACACCATTCGAAGGTCACTATTTATCAAAACCATTAGGGTTTTTATTCCAATTTAAGGTCACTGGTTGACATTTCTTGTATCACCTTTCAAGGTTGATAAACCTTGTGTGTTTTTCATACCTTTTTGTATGTACAAAGGACATGAAGTAACACAATTGTTCCTTTTTTAGCCAACTTCCGGAACCCAGTCACAAGTCAGGGAAGAAACCTTTTAGTTTTGGGGTTACATTTATTAAGGAGAAGGGGAAGAAATTTTAAGTTATATGGGGATTTAAAGAAGATTTTTTTATATATACATGGAACCCAGGTTTGGTGTACTTTTACCCACTGGAGTCTAGTTCTTCACCGGATCATCTTCCAGGGCAACCTACGGAAACCGGCAGGAAGAACTTATTTTGTTTTTGTTTGTCATTCCAATATTTTTTATAACTTTTTTCAACATCCTCTTCAAGGTTTTAACTTTTGCTTTACTTTAATTTAAATATATATCATTAATAATAATTGCCTTCACTTTTTCATAAAATATTAATCATTGTAACGTAATTTAATTATTTATAGTCCACCAAGGGTTGAGATTGTAACTCCCCTGGACTCTCTCGTTATCAGGTTATAGTGTGCACACATATCTGGAGAGGTTTATTTCATTTATTTGATAATTGGAACGTTTATATTATTATATTTCATTTTATATTATATATTTAACTATTGCATAACCTTAGTCAAAATTTCACATTATCAGGTACATTAGGGGGGGAAATTATTTTATCATTATATTCAGGGTTTTCATTGTAAATATAGATTAGTTAATTGTATATAAGAGGTGTTGGGTTATATTGTTATATATAAGGGTTTAAAATAAGTTGTACATAATATAGGTATTTATTAAAGTTGGGTTAAAATATTTTAAGATTTCACTTGGTACCTATCCTTTAATATTTCAGCAATACAAGATATCTCGGAAGAAACCATTTAACTTCCTGGCGCCCAAATATTAAGTAGAGCAACTTTATCTTTCATCTGATTATTTCTTGGTAGATTTCTTGTCATTAGTTCTTCTATCTTACGGTCACTGTAGGGCATGCAAATTGGCCTAATCCCTCTTGAGTGTCAAGTGGTCATTCTCCTGCATAGTCGCTAGCCAGCATTAATTTTATTATATTTTAAAATTCATATTTACCCTTTATTTATTTCTTTCATATAATTTATTTCTATCTAATCCCTTCCATCTTCTGTTATTCCAGATATTAATCCGTTGGTGTATCAAGGTACATTTTAGAGTTTACCCTATTGCTACAATACACATTCTTGTTATATTGGCGCTCCAGCCAGTCCATTTTTGTTACATTGGCGCCCAACGTGGGGCCTTTTCTCAGTTCAGACCGTACATTCTGAAGTATATTTCTCTTTGCAAAATATTCTTTATTATTTCTAATTTGTTCCTGTTGCTCTTTGTTCATATTGTTTTTAACTCCTTTATTTATTTATTGTTTTTCCTTATTAGAGTTACATTTATAGATATACTTGTATTGCTGTAGTTTACTTATACTCATATTTAAACCCTCACCTTTTAATCTCAATGTGTACAGTTAACTATCTATTCTACTATTATTGAACTTTAAGAATTTAATAATTTAGACATTACTATTTTTTATACATATATATATATATATATATTAGCCAATATTGGTGAATTTTTTATATTCAAGTATTTGTTAACCATATACTTGTTGAAACCATTGTGTGTTGCTTCAAGGATTGTGTTTATATTTACCTAACTTACTTAACCATTTTGAAATTTTTGTGAATAACTTGAAATTATTTTTGGATTGATTTTGTGGTGTGTTGGTACATATTTACTTATATATTTTTTTTTGAAAACTTTATATTACTATTCGATTGGTTTTGTGGAGTGTGAGTATATTATCTCCTGGTCTATTCTACCTATTCATCTATTTGTTTTTCTTTCACAATGTCTGCATTCAAGGTAGAACATTTATTAGTTAAAGAATTAGATTATGAGTTGAGAATTAGGGACATTCCCATTGATGCGTCTTCCAATGTGGATTTAAAACGCAAGATATTGCGTGGAGCTCTAAGGCAAGAAGAAGGAAATAGGAGCTTTCGACAAATTTCTACCACCAGTATTCCCTTTTTGGAACAACAAGAAGAGATTGATGAGACTATGGATGATTTGGCTAAAAGGATATCCGATTTTAGAGGGACTGTCCAAGATAGCCTATACTCCAGGCTGATATCACGTCTAGCCCATGTCTCAGGCCGTGTTCATCTATTATCTTGTTCGAATGATGAGCAGCAAACTTACAAACGCTCTATTTCAATCCGAATTCTTAGCCTAGAGGGTGAACTTGATTCACGAGTGAATCCAATTGCTACTTCAACCCCTATTTCTTCAGCCCAAGCAGCTAATTCATTTCTTCACCCCAAACCTGTTCAGGTACATAAATGGGGCATTACATTTTCTGGTGAAGGTCATTATGACCAGGTTATTTCCTTTTTGGATAGGGTGGAATGTCTTCGCATATCGAGAGGAGTGAGTGAGGAGGATCTTTTTGCAGCTTCTGCTGAGTTGTTTACAGGCACAGCTTTTACGTGGTTTAGAAACAACCGCAATAATTTTTCTAATTGGTCTGATTTGGCTCAGAAACTCAAGTCTGATTTTCTACCTTATTCTTTTCAAGATGACCTTCTAGACCAAATCAAAAATCGTAAACAGAAGCCAAACGAGTCTGTTACGATGTTTATAAATAACATTTTGGGTATGTGTAGTCGCCTTGAAACACCTCTGACAGATTCTGCAAAGATTAAGATCATCCTCAAATGTCTACTGCCATTTTATCATCAGCAATTAGCTTTAGTAGACATCACCAGTATAGCAGACATAACCGAGAAGTGTAAACGTTTGGAGGAAACTTTATCTTGGTCTTCTCAACCTCCAACCACTTCTAAACACTCTTCTGACTCGTTCGGTCATCAAAATTCTTTTAGACACCGTTCTTGGCAACCTAAGGGCTCTGAACGTAATATATCAGTTATTAGTTCTGTAGTGTGCTGGAATTGTCGTGAGTCTGGCCATACTTTTTATGATTGCGGCATCCCTCGTACCCGTATTTTCTGCCACGGTTGTGGTAAAGAAAATACCCTCAAACGCAATTGTTTTAGGTGTTCGGGAAACGAACGATCGGAGGTCCGTCCCCTGAGCGTTTCTCCGTCCACACCCCCATCAGGGAATCAAACCGTTGCATCAAACGAAGTCACTGGTCCAACCACGTCAAGCCACCCAAACCCATCTTCCAGTCGGAAAGTTGTCTCCAAAAAACCAACACACACCACACCAAGTCATTCCAAGAAGTAACTTCCCAATATAATACATCGGATTTACATAGATTATCTTCCCCAAATATCTTCCCAAATTTTAGTAATAGACATAATAGTAGCAGTGTAGTAGTTCCAATATCTATACCAGAGTCTACCACAATTCAGGAGGATTCTTTTATTTCTGATTCTTCGTGTTTGCCTGTTGCATCCTCTGATTGTGTAGGTAGAGACAATAAGTTTAGTTTAGCACCATTTAAAATTTTTGACCAATCAGATAATGATTGTTTTGATTTAAATTCATTATTAGTGAAGAAACATAATGATAATAGACCTTATCTTCCTATTAAGATTTTAGGACAATCTTGTTTAGCTCTTTTAGATAGTGGCTCGAACATTTCTGTGATAGGTTCACAGTCATTAGCTTTACTGAAAAATGCTGAGATTTCTATTATGCCCATTTCTTCTCTGCAAGTGTCTACTGCAGATGGTACAGTTCAGTCTATTACAGGCAAATTTGAAACTGAAATCACAGTAGCAGATTTATGTAAACAAATTACATTCTACATTATTCCTTCAGTTCAGAATTCTATAATTTTAGGTATGGATTTCTTAAATGCTTTTAATAGCACACTAAATTGTTCTAATTTTTCCTTTTCTATTTC